GAATATGGAGACCGTGGTCTTTTAGCATACTCTGTACACCCGGGAAACGTCCCCACTAACATCAATGGTGGTGTCGAAGGCATCGCCCCAGAGCTCAAACATGGTGAGTCTTTCATCTAATACGACTCGTGAAATGTGAAACAATGTTAACAAGAAGCTTGCAAAGTATTTGTCGATACGCCGCAGCTGAGTGCTGACTCCTTGGTCTATCTCACTAAAGAGAAGAGGCAGTGGCTGGCAGGGCGATACATCAATGTGACATGGGACTTGCCGGAGCTCATGACCAAGGAGAAAGAGATTGTGGCTAGGGATATGTTGAAAGTCAAGATGGTCATTTGATCGTAGCAGTATATGAGAGTCATGGGGTAGATACTGGCCTGGCTCCAGAAATCAGCCTCGTTCAGACATGACAGCAACTTGGGACTGGTGCTACTTGCCTCTCTCCTCTGTCTTTGCATCTCACTCCGGCATGTAAATAAACTATACCATTTTGAGTCTGGTAGTGATGACAATGATCGAACCGTGAGTCGTAGATAATGTGGTGGCCGTCGGCCATCGTCGCCCATGGACGGTCGGCGGATATTGGCGCACTTCTTCACCCACACAGGCCAGTTAGGTCGATGGCTCCCTTGCCTATGTTTAATAGCTAAGTGATTTCAGGCTTGGAACTAAGCTAGAAATTAAAAGGTGTCAATTCTGCGTTCAGTGTTTGAGACTCTGGCAGACGGATCTTCGACTTGGATTTCTGGACGTAATCAACATGCATGTGCACGCTTTCTTGACGACAATAATAGCACTTCCCAGCCAATGGTGGATAGTGGTGTTCGCAACAGCCGGTTTTCTCTATGTACTCTCTAAACTTATATACCGTTTGAGCCCTCTGCATCCCTTGTCCGGAATTCCAGGTCCGTTCGTGGGACGCATCACAGATCTCAACCTTGTCTATCACTCTTACAAGGGCGACGAGGCACAATATGTACGCAGCCTTCATCAACGGTATGGGCCAGTTATACGCATCGCCCATGACTCTGTCGATTTTACCCATGTATCAGCCCTCGAGGGCATCTATCTGAAGAAGGGCGGGTTTCTAAAACCGCGTTACTACAACAACTTCGACATCGACGGGCACGCCTCGATCTTCAGCAACACTGACCTGGTCGAACGTGCTGCACGCGCCAAGGCTATTCTCCCATTGTTCAGCATTTCAAACATAAAGGCAGGCTCGCGGCCATTTAATGAAAGTATATCTCGCTTTCTTCACAAACTCAAGGAACAAAAAGCTGCTGGGCGTGCCAATGTTTTGGACCTTGCGCGTGGCATGTCTATCGATGGAGTTACAGAATATCTATTTGGTGTTCGCTATGGCGCCTTACAGGATGATGCATATGCACAAAAGGAGCATTCGATAAAACCCAAGAGTACCGGCACACAACGAATGGCTGCGAGCACCGTTGTCGACACTTTTGTCTTGACATCCCGTTTTTGGTATCTTCCTACTTGGCTCTACGACTTGGCCGACAGAGTTGATGCATTTATTTACCCGAACCCAACGGTCGCGCCAAGTACAGATATTCTCAACGAGTATGCTGATCGTGTGATCTCTCATGCGGTGGAACTCCTCGATTCTCAACAGAAAGGGGTAGGGGAGGGCGGTGTCAACGCTACCGCCAATTATCCTGTACGGCTCCTTAGAGCTGGATTCTCCCATTCTGAGACCAGGGCACAGTGCAAAGACATCATCTTTGCGGCTACAGATACCATTGGTATGAATCTAGCTACCGTGTGCTTCATGCTGGCGAAGTATCCCGAAACATACAACAAACTCCACACAGAAGTGACAAATGCAATCATTACACACGTTGACGACATACAGAACATTCCCTATCTCATTTGTGTGGTACGCGAGGCTCTGCGTCTAAGCATGACCAATCCTTGTCGCTTGCCACGAGCAGTACCAGCTGGAGGTTGGACTTACGAAGGACGATTTTACCCTGCAGGGACTATTGTGTCATGCTCTGCATACGAAATGCATTTATCTTCAGATATTTTCCCGGAGCCACTCGAGTTTCGGCCTGAAAGATGGGACGCAGCGACTGATGCCATGAAGAAGAGCTTCATGCCCTTCGGACTTGGAGGTAGACAGTGCATAGCCAAAAGCATGTCGCTACTAGAGTTACATCAGGTGTTGTATGACATAGTCCAAGCGGATATTCTGAGGGGCGCACGACCAGTGACGAAGACAATTAGAATTTTGGAAGGTTTTACGGCCAAAGTCATAGGGGGTGATATTGGACTGGTTTGGGATGTCTCGTCCAGTGACTAGATCTTTCAACAAATTATAAAATGCTTTCCAATTTTGAGTTTGTGCGTAAGTTGATAATTTGTTATTTATTGATATTTTATGCCCCTAGGTGTCAGATTGGGGCAGACACAAGTAGGTGACAACGCAATGCATCGTTTTCCACAAGCTTAAACCTTACTTACAGGGTTATTCGGATTAGTGCTCATACGGAGGCAATGACTCTTTTTTCCATATCTTTTACAGTTCTATTAGCATCTTATGCTTAATAAGTTGGGATGCGCCACTGCGCTGCGTTGTTAAACAGGAATATTATGAGGTTTTAGTGGAGTATGCAGGCCGCCTGACTAGTGCGTTGCCCATACATTCGGCCATCGGCCGTTATCAAGCTGTCTCCCGAGACGTTGATAGCCCGATCTCGAGAAACCCACAACAAGTAAGTTGACGCCCAAGGCAATAAATAGTGTACCTCAGGTCTTCACTCACAACTATCTTCATCTACGCTTCTTTATAAGCAGCCAATAGGATGACTTCGTCATCACCATATCCAGTTGGTAAATACCTTCCCAATGGCAATGGCAACGATCCGCCTCTACCACTAGATGGACCAACAACTGGTTTTAAATTCAATCATATGATGATGAGAATCCGTGACCCAGCTACTTCGCTGAATTTCTACATCAATCTCATGGGTATGCGAACGGTGTTTGTCGTCAATGCCGGCCCCTTCACGATCTACTATCTCGGCTACCCTCAGACAGTTGAACATCGACAGGACCTAGCCAAATTCGGAAAGGAGACGATTGTGGATTTAGCACATACACTTGGACTACTTGAGTTGTATCATATCCACAATTCTGAGAATGAGCCAGCTGGATACTACAGTACTGGCAACGAACCTCCAAACCTAGGTCTGGGCCACCTGGGCTTCACTGTGCCAGATGTTCGTTCCGCATTGAACCACCTGGTCGGCAATGGGGTGAAAGTGATTAAAAACTTGGGAGTTGCCACCCGCGAGACGATACCCCTTAGTAAGTGGGAGGCAGACCGAGGCAACGGATTAGGCGAACTGCATGAGCAATATCAGAAGGTTTTCAAACAGATTGCTTTTGTGCAAGACCCGGTAAGCCATCTTCACTCAGTTCTTCCTTTGGCAATTTTTGCCCCGACTACGCATACACGCCGTCAATGGCAATTCAAATAGCAATGCTGACATAGGTTTTTATTTTCCACAAAATAGGACGGCTACACGGTCGAGCTTGTCCCCCAGAAAATGAATGCTCTTGACCCCTGAGCTTGGAACTACATCAGCAGAACCATGGCAAAAGATATCTCTAATAGTCTGTCATTATGCTAGGTTAGAGAATAGCTCACGATATGTTGGAGTACTTCCTATCTCCTTTAAAAGAAAGGTATGCAAAGGACAACAAGAAACAAAGAAATATAGTGAAATTCATTCAATGAATCTTCTGTAGGAAGCGACAATGCTGTGGTTTGACGTAATTCTACTTTGTGATCTGTTGCTATCGGCTGTGGTGATGCCATGATGCGCCTGGCTAGATTTGTAGTCTAGGGCACCGTCGGCCGATTTAGCATGCCCCACAACCTCAATTACCGTTCCGACATTAGAGGGTGTTAGAATCGACCCGATAGACGGCCGTTAATCAGATATAATATGCCCGAAATACCAGAACACCTAAGCGGCCAATTTGGTTGCACAATACAGCTCGCAGGTAAGCACTGAGCAAATCTCGGCCACCATCGGGCCACTCAAGAACAACCAAGCTAGCAGCTTGCCTTTCAATATAGGCATTTTATCGTTCACTCAATCGTAAAGTAACAGTACAAAGGGTCTAATGCCTTCACAACTCTAGGCAGAGAAGAACCACAAACAAGATATCCACTGTAGGAGAAATGCCTGCCTTTCATACGGTGCCCCAGGCCTTCCCAAATCTGGCCAATGAAGTTTTTGTTGTCACAGGTGAGTTATGTGTAATTGAAATTGGGGAAGCTACACAGAAACAGGCCCCTTGAATGTCATTTCTTGAGTCCTTCATTGCATGGCCTTTAGCCATTCAAACTTTAAGCTGACCTGGAACCTTTCATGCTAGGCGGTGCAAATGGAATAGGGCAGTGTGTAGTCCGATCGCTCTACACATTGGGCGCTTATGTTGTCTTCGGCGACATTGATGAAGTTGCTTGTCAGTCACTCGTGAACGAGCTCACCAGTGACAAATCATCGCGTGGGCGCATTGCCTTTCGCCGGACTGATGTACGACTTTACGACGACACGTTGGCTCTCTTCCAGGTGGCTTATGAAACCTTTGGGAAAGTTGATCACGCCTTTGCCATTGCTGGTGTAACCGAGATACCAAACCAGAACTGGTTTGACGAGAAATTGGATTTGAAGAGTGTCACGCAGCAGCCCTCTACGGTATTGGTTGACGTAAATCTGACTGGGGTTTTATACTTTACGCGCATCGCTTCAGTCTATCTGAGACAAGGGGATGAGAAAGGCGAGAACAAAAAGTCCATCTGCCTGATGGGCTCAGTGGCTTCTTTCAAAGAGCAGGCCGGCCTGTTCGTCTACCAGCCGACGAAACACGGTGTGCTGGGCCTCGTTCGGTCGAGCCGTAAGTATTTTCAAGAATGCTTGGGAATCAGACTGAACGTTGTCTGTCCCTCTATGACTAAGACACGAATGGCCACGCCGGTTTTAAAGCTATGGGAAGACCACGGAGTTGCGGGTAACGACCCGGAAGTGATTGCAGACTTCGTATTGACGCTGGCGAGCGTCCCCTATAGCCCCTATGTTGGTAGCCTGTCGGGCCTGGCTATCTATGTAGAGGCGAACAAGGGTTGGGAAATAGAAAAGGATCTAGACAAGAGTGATGCACTGTGGATAGGGGAGGAAATGAGCAAGAACGCTCTCAAGATTGAGCAAGCCTTGGGCAATGGAGGCTCGTGGGTAAACCCCAAAACCAATGGATTGAGCTAAGCGCAGCATGTCCTATAGTGGAATAGCAGTCAAGCATTGACTCCAGGTCGTAAATAGAGACTGATCGCCGTACTCGGCAGTGGGCAACAACAAAGCTTCCAGGCACAGGGTTGGTGCTACCAACGCCAAGAAATTCGTGTGCATCCTGTTCTCGTGAGATTTGAGGTCATCATATTGAAGACAACAGCAACCTAACCGTCAGCAATATTGCACGAACCTGATATTTACATATATTTACCTATTCCCTTGAAAGTTGTGCCTATTTACACTTGTGAGGAATCAATCGAGGTCAAAACGTGAACGAAAGTGCTCTGGTTCGCGAATATTCAGAGCTTGGACTTTTCGCTGATTCGCTAGGAGATCAAAGAGTAGCCGAAAAGGGCAGGTAATTAAGAGGATCTGCCCAACTCAATGACCGCGAAATTACCAGTCAGCAGGCGACTCTGCGCTTCTCACACCCCACCGGTTTGTTTTGCGTCACGTCGTGCCTTGCAGCTTGCATGAGGTGAAATCAAAATCACTCTCCTCCGTTAGTATCCAGTCGTCTCTAGGAACTGATATGGTGCGGCTACTTGCGCTCGTGGGAGTTGCAACTCTGAGCACTGCCGCATCTTTGAAATGGCAGCTTCTTCCCACCCACAGCGCACAACGGTTTCGCGGCCTCTCACCTGTCTCGGCTGAGACGGCCTGGGTTGCTGGCACCAACGGGACTGTGCTTCGTACGACCGACGGTGGGGAGACCTGGGAGTCGGTCGGGCCTCCGCTCTCTGTCGAAGATGTGGAGTTACAATACCGGGACGTTCAGGCATTCTCGGCCGAGGATGCAGTCATCCTATCTATCGGTGAAGCAACGGACTCGCGTATATACGTCACCTCTAATGGTGGCAAGTCATGGATCCAATCATTTACTAACGAGGACTCAGCTGCATTCTATGACTGCATTGCGTTTGATAGCCCCTCTCATGGCATGGCGATGAGCGATCCCGTCGATGGCAAGTTCCGCCTAATAGAAACGAACAATGGCGGCGTATCATGGGATATTGTCCCCTCGGACAGCATGCCTTCAGCCTTGGACGGCGAATTCGGGTTTGCTGCAAGCGGAACATGCCTCACCACCAAATCTGGGCGGTGGTATCTGGCTTCCGGAGGTGTCAACCCAGGCCGCATTTTCAGCAGCCCAAACGGGCACGACTGGGTGGTCAATCCAAGTGCAATTGCCGGCGGAGGAGCAGCCGGCGTCTTCTCTGTGCAATTTCGAAATACTAAGCAGGGCATTGCCGTAGGCGGAGATTACACGGTGCCCAATATTACAGCAAATATCTCGTCATGGTCCGAAGACGGCGGCTTGACATGGCATGCATCAGATACCTTTCCTGGCGGATACCGCTCGGGGTCATCATGGTTGCCAGGTATCTGCGATACGGCTATTACGGTGGGACCTACTGGCTCTGATATTACGTTCGATAATGGAAAAGCGTGGCAGGCGTTTGATGATGGCTCGTTTGATAGCGTTGAGTGCCTCCCTGGAAGAGTGTGTTGGGCGTCCGGCGAGGATGGGAGAGTGGCTAAACTCGTGGTGGCTTAAGACCTTCTAAATAAGAGGAAATACATGGACGACTCGAAATCAAGAAAACTTTACCCCGTCTCGGCAGCATCAGTTTATTTTATCTGAATAGAAATTTGTTATCCAGCCGCAGCGATGAACTCCTTGGTACCTTTGATGACACTGAGAATCCCTAGCTTGGTTGCGGGATACAAATTTAATGCTGATCTCACCTAGCTAAATTGCTTGCTTTGATTGCTGATTTAATTATTCCGTCCGCAACAATACCTATATAAATTGAAAGATAGCCTACCAGTGATACAATGCCAGTACAAAGGGCCGCGATAGCACCACCTGCGAAAGCGAACATGATACTATCATCCAGGACAGCTATAATCCGTTCAACTGATAGAGTCTGTTAACACGGGCATCTAGCCACACACAAGTATATCGCAAGCTTGAACTTACACTCCGTTTCGCTTCTCTAGTGTGTACTGCTCCTGCTTAGTTTGTTGCGTGTCCCGAAAGTCGCCCTCACTCGCCCGAGTCGCTCGTCCAGCCCGTCGCCGCTCTACTCAATCGCTACTCAGGCACTGCTAAGGAAAGCTCAGGGGAGCGCTCAAATTTGATCTAGACACGTAGGCAGTGCGAAGGCCGAGAAAGGGGCCGGTTTTGGGCCATCGGGTGGACAACATAATTTATGTTACTCAGCCCCTGCTATTAGAGCAAAGTGATCCAACTTATCAGAGAGCACTGCATCGTCACGATCCGTGCTGAGGGTGACGTCCTCCCACCGAACCATCACCACGGCCTCCTGTTGTCTTTTGATTTTCCACCATCGAAGAGAATCCGAACCCAGAGCAATCCGTGAAGACCAGACTCTGCCAGCCGCCATACCCTCGCCCTTGACAACATCGGCCATTGCCTTTGCGACCTTGGCCGGATCTCCCGGAGGCATTCCCCATTCAGCCATATCCTGCGAGGCAGCGGTAACCCCTGGCACGTATGCTTCGATGGGACTCTTTTCCTCCTTGCTCTGCTCCGACGCGACTTTGTCCTTCTCACGCGGCTCGAAGAGGCGCGTGGCAACGCCGCCGCACTCAAAGGCGACGCAGCGGATGCCGAGAGAGGAGACCTCTTTGTGCAGCGATTCGGCAAAGGAGCTATTTGCCCACTTGGTCATGTTGTAGCACGTCGTGTAGGGCATGTTGCCCCAGAGCTGGTTTGACGCCGTGAAAGTGACTGTTCCTGATCCCTGTTGACGGAAGAATGGGAGAATGGCCCGCGTCATGTGAAGCTGACCGAATACGTTGGTTTGGAAGATGCGTTCTGCGTCGTCATCGCTGTGCAAAGCACCAGAGTCAGCTGACGAGACCCGATCTCAAAGATGGACCTGATTTACCTGATATCCTCGAAGGGGGCGAGCAAAAATGTGCCGGCATTGTTAACAAGAACATCGATGTGTCCGAATATCTGCCAGGCCGCCTTGACTTTACTCGCAATAACCTTGGAACCAGACGTGATGTCGAGCTCAAGAAGCGACACATTCTCCGAGGCGCGATCAGCCATCTGATCGACCTGTCTGTTGGCAGCAATCACTTTGTCGCCTCGACGGACGACTTCCTTGACGAGTGCAGCTCCAATTCCCGCCGAGGCTCCTGTTACAAGCCATACAAGAGGTGCCATTGTCGAGAACTGCAGTGTCTCAACAGAAATAATAAATATAAAGGCAGAGAAATCGACTGGTGATTTTTACTAGAGATAGGCAGTGAAAGTATGAAATGCACTTTCGTAGTATTCCTGGTTAGAATACCTCGATCTGTGACGAGGAGACTTTTATATCCATACCGCTCCTATAATGAGGTCCTACCTAGGCAATCAGATCAAACAGAAAGGCTCGTCCGCGCACGAAAAAGACATTTAATAAACAAGCCAAGGGCTTTATCGACAATCCCTGGAGTCTTTCGAATCAGACATAGTCATTAGTAATTCAACACCAAAAGCCCCCCAACGGTCATTGACAAGCCTGGCGACAACATACAGCTGAAGGTGGAACACATCGGCTCGATTCGCTCGCTAGGCCCATTTCGTCCGCGGACGAATTCGCCCATCCGCGGCAACCCGCAACTCTCCCTCGGCCGGCCTCACTTCAACCGCGCACAGCACAGTGACTCGATGGGCTATCCATCCGAACGTCTCAAGCATGGTGCGTGGCTCCCCGAGGACGTCTGCGTCTGCATCCGCGACCTCGACCTCGACGCCGACACGCAAGACCATGCGGAAAGGGACGCACAGCTGCACAGAATGCGAGTACCTCCCTCCCACGCCCAACTGCTCCGGCGCGCCGGCTCATGTGTATTTGTCTAGGTCGCCGTCGAAAGATCCGTTGCGACTCGATGCCAGGAGCTTCAGTCTGTTTCAACTGCAAATCTCGTCGCACACCATGTGTAAGCCAGAGCGGTGATGGCGCGAGACTGCAGTTGCGTCGGCGCCCAGAATCCGACTCTCCGAGGAACAGCAGCAGTGAGGCCTCTGCCTGGGCGGCGACGAATCCAGGCGTCCCACAGGCTGCAGACGTTCTGGAAAACAGTGTCACAGACCAGCGAGCACCCTTCCTCGCGGTTCTGGACACGTCTGGAGTGAGTCCCCCATGTTGGCATGCACTTGTACGTTCAGCAGACTTGACGAGCCAGCACAGCTCTCCAAATCTCCCAAGACGGACGATGCCAGTGCGTCATCTCGGTCACGTCTGGCCAGGGACAGCAGCATGTCTCACTCGTCAACAGGTGACCGGAGGCCATCTCGTGTTTCCAGCAGATTGCCTGAGCCACTCCCACCCGGCCAAGGGGAAAGTACATGCGAGACACTACGTGCAGGATTACCGCCCTACGATTCTATCATGAAAGTTGCATTGGCGCACAAAGGCTGGTGGGTTCGAATACACAGAGCTGTTCGTGGCATTTATGACGACACGATTGAGTCTTTCCCAGACTTCGTCAGGCGAGCCTACACGAGCGATCGGCCTTCAGAACTGGGTAAGATGGCGATTGCGTTCGCTTTCGCTTCTGATGTTGATGGGTCCCATATCTACACCTTGGTTGACCGCCTCGTTGTCTCTGACATGGCGTATATGTCTACTGTGGAAGGCTTGGAGTGCCTGATCTTGCTGGCCATACTCTATGCGGACGAGGGCCAGCCCAGAAGATCATGGAAGATCTACCGCAGAGGAGTAATGGTCGCGCATTTGACGGTATGTCAAAATCCTGTTCCGGAGACGAGTGATGGAAGCTGATGATGTCAAAGGACCTGTACCAGGCTGGTCTCCGATCAACAGCCAAGAGACGGCTCTGGCTATCCATCTACCAAGCAGACCGCATGATGAGCATGTTCCTCGGGCTGCCGTACGGTTTTGTCGATATGCACCATCAGCAACTCCTAGAGATGAAGCCCGAAAATGACTACTTGGATTCGATCATGACCATCCGCTGTGCGATGATAGCCGGAAAGGTTATTGACCGAAACCACTCGCGTATAAAGGCGTCTATCTCTAAGACAGTGGAACTGGACGAGGAGATGAATGAGCTTGCAACGTCTTTCCCAGAATTATGGTGGGAGCTTCCTGACCGGGTCCGAGCCGATGGCCACGATTTCGACGAAATCCATGTCCGGCTGCACCAGCAACTCTTCTTCTTCCACCTGCGACTCTACATTTACCTACCGTTCCTCAGCAGTTCCGAAGAAAACTCTGTGCACGGTTCAATCGTGCGCATCGCCAGCAAGGAAGCTGCACGAGAACTGCTGAGGCGCTACCTGTGTCTGCATAGTGACGCGGAGGGGCTGAGCCCGTCTGAGTGCAAGCTCGTGGACTTTATGGCATTTACTGCCGCAATTGTCTTACTTCTAGGTTGCTCAAGCTCCTCCGGCCCAAGGATGTCAAGTGATGGGAATGACATCGAGGCTGTGCTGTCTTTGATTCGGTGCTTGCAACGCCAGGAGAATCAAGAAAACTGTCCCATCGCGTCGCAATGTCGCAAGACGCTGACGGTGCTGCTGTCGAGATCGAGCACGGACGAAGAAGTCCGCATTCCGTTCTTTGGCACAGTCGTCAGAAAAGGCGACCGAACCGTAGAGCAGACCGCTCAGGCTGATCAAAGCTTCATAACAGACTCGCATACGGGTGATAGTCATGCTTTACCTGCTGGCCAACCATCCTTGCCGACGACTGGTACCAACTCTACTCCCGCGAGTGAAGACCTGGCGCTGCCGAGTTCTGCGTATTCGGAGGCACCGTGGGATTTGGAGCACCCCGGCCACATGCCAGAACTGGGCTTCTTATCCCATCTAGAGGATGTGTCGGCAGATTTCGACACGGGCTGGGAGTTCATCATGGATCTCGACAGCTTCTGAGTCAGCTCAGAATTTGACGGTGTTCTAAAGTCTATCTCCCTGGAAGCGTCAGGGTTTTGCGCACCTGCTTGTCATACTCCTATATAGGACGAGGATGCGCAGACGATTCTGCTTCCTACTGGCAATCTCATTCTCGACCATTTGGAGCACTGGACGACTTGAAGCGCCCCTGTTATTTACGGAGGGAGGGCCTTTATCGAAGCATTCATGTGCTTTGTCGATGTCCAATAAGATGACTAAGATGCTCCTCTCGCCACGAACTTGCATCAGGCCAAGATGAGAGAAGAAGCATTGAATTAGGCCACAGTTATCTACTATCTATCTACTCTCCCAAATTTAAGTGACTAAGCTTAAGTCTCGGCGACTATCACGACTCCATACTTGGGAAGATTCTCCCGTCTCACAGGGCATAACGATAGTGACATCTGCCTATTCCATTAGCCTTGCTCTTTCTAGTTATCTCTATTTGTGAATTGTCTATTAGATATCTTTTGGCCTAATTGTAGAGTCTCTCATTATCTTATATCGTATTAAACTTGTATAATTGCCCTTCTCACGATTTAGTGCCGGAATACGAGTAGCGAAAATGATATAGCTATCGTAAGTCTTGTTTAACCATCCGTGAAAATTACAAGCCTCTTCGTAGGGTGAATATAGGGTTTCAGTAACAATTTCTGCAGTGATAGCATTGGATCTGGTACGCTAAGGGAGGATGGCTGGTATATTACGGTCAGGTACACATAGAGGCTTTGTAGCAGCGAATCGTCAGACATTCTTAGACACATACTGGTTGATCAACTCGATCCTACTTTACCAATAAGATCGAAGATCTTCGACGCCAGACAGAAAAGGATCTGGGCTCATCTGAAACAATAGAGTCGATTGCTAGCGCTTGTTGACTTTTCACCTTTTTCAACGCCGTCTCTTTCCGGGCTTAGTGAGCATCAATAGACCTCTACGTATCTCTCACTCCAGTCGCTGGAAGGATTGTCACAAGGGGGCGCCAATTTTTGCGAATGATGGAGCGCCGCCCGACAGCCGCTCGACCGGCCGTTCGGCTATGCTGAAGAGGTCTTCAAACCCCGCTCCTGAAGACCCCAATCAGACCCCAACCCTGCCCCCAATTCGCCCCAGGCCCGCATTAGACTAGTTCGACTAGGTGTTTAGCTCTTTGTCGCCATAGTTTCTGGTTGCTCGCCGCGCTCGCGCAGATTCCATACCTTGCAAAGTCGCAATCGCAAACCTGCCTGAGCCTATGTGATCGCGGGGCCTGATCCGGGGGGTCATGTCCAAGTATTGGGTCACTTGTAGAGTCGTATTGATCCCTTCAACAGGGAAACCCGGACTCGCCGGTGGCCCACCCATCCTGTTCGGTCCCGAGGTGATGGGCTCAGTCTAAAAGAGTATGAGCTTCCCAGCGCAGAGAACCCACGTATGCCAGTGTCGATGAACTGCTGCGGTATATGTTGCTCACCAGGGGCACTTTGGGGGCGCGTCCAGCACATTAGCATCTCGCGCGTCACATTCTGTGACACATCTCGAGCTTAAGCTTCGGGATTAGGAGAAATTAGTGGTGTTTTTCGATGCAACGATGCAACGAGATGCAAGGGTTCAACTCCGCATCCCCAGCAAGACAATGAGAGATTAAAGCTCAAACGGGATCAGCCGTGCGTGCGTGGTGTCAATCCCGGGGCGCTTCTCAGTCAACGTCAAGCTACTACGAGGCTGCCCAACCGCCAGCCATCTAACTATCGTGCATTGAATAGTCAAGACGAGGTTCCGCAAGATGTTCGCCGCCGTGGCGTGATGTATTTGCCGTGTAGCACAGAAACATGCAGGCCCCCTATCTCGCAGCATTCTTCTTATCGATTATAGGTCGGCCAGACTGTTGAACTAAAAAGGCGCTCACACCAAACTCGCGGTTTGTTGATTTTGAGTGTGGAATCACTATACCTATTTCACCAACACCTCAACAAGCCTATACTGCCCGATGATGCTCTCGTACTCAACGACACAGCATGCCATGGCCGAAGAAGATCATTCCAAAATTATTGACATATTTAATTCTCATTGTTGAGGTGTGCATAAGGTAACTGACAGTGCGGCTCAAGTTGTGTGGCGCCTGGCTTTATTGGCCTGGCCGGGGCTGGCCAGTGCGCTAATGATTAGCTTGCAAAGAAGCACCGGCAGTTATGCAGCCACACGAATTAGAGGCTCATAAACACAAGACAGCTAGTGAAATTGTCGACGTCAACTTTTATCATCCATTTCTGAGGCCTTCACCAGCAAGCTGAAACGCTGTGCTGAAAACAGAGGGCTTTACGGTTTGGCATGTGACTTCTCGTTTGCGGCAGAGACATTGAGAAGTGGCCACGTGACTCCACGCTGATCCATTTATCCCCCATGGGCACTTGGGCATGCCAAATGAGCCGGTTCCACTGTAATAATGGGATAGCCTACCCTCCATAGTACACCGCATCCACAGGTTGGGGAGGGCTATCCTGATTACGGGACACCATGATCGTGAAGCGCACCAATCGATTGGGGGATGGCTTAGCTAAGGGAGGGATGAAATGGGCTCATGTGATGGGATGATTTGATTAGTTAGTGAAACTAGCATTGTTAGTCGATGGAGTTTCTTCTGGGTATCGAACTTGAATTATGAGAGAGACGGACTTTGTTCTTGGAAACAGCACCCAGCAAAATGGCAGGAGCGACACTGCACAGCACTACATTAGAAGCTTGTTGTGGTTGCCCTCTGCTTTGACAGCGGCGCTGATGGTTGCAGCAAGTGCGGAGCTCCCAAGACGGCAAAAGTGACAGACAATGCAGTAGCAGGGCTCGCTAACTTCCTACGCTAGAGATAGTGGATGACAGTGGAGCAATTGCGCTGGCGGCCATTGGCAGGCGTTGATACGCGGCCCACCAAAGTGGACTGCGGTAAGAGCAGTGTGACGTCACGCCTAGAAAGCAGCCAAGGGAAGGAGTGTTCGGAATGGTAGGCCAAGGGAGGAAACAGCGAGGGGGAAGCAGGACGCAACCTCAGACAACAACCTGAGGCGGAGTGGCCGATCCAACGCTTACGGCGTAGTCATCCCCAGAGCAACGCACACAAGTGAAGGTCTCATCCAATCCACCACCAGAGGAGGAGATCCTTGGAATGTAGTGAGCGCTCCAATGGACCCAATCGAGCACTGCCAATTCTCACTCGCAAACAGCGCTGCCAACGAGGCTTAGCAAACCTTTTCTTAGGTCGGAACCGTCGGCGCGAGAGGGGAGATTTCGAATCGAGGCTTGTTACGGCGGCAAGCCTTTTGCGCGTCTTAGCACTCAGAGCTTAGCAAGCTTAAGCCGGCTTAGCATCGGCAGAGACAGCGCTGGGCAGCGCCACCTGCTCATGCCTCTTGCGCAGAAAGTAGCTAGGCATGCATGAGTTTTGCCCCGGACTCTAGGCGCATCCTGGAGGTTATGTCAGAGCCTGAGAGACCGCCCATTCGCGAACGGGGTTCGAGCCATGCACCATTTATATTGGGGTATTGAGTCGTCGAACCGGCAGTCTATCGCGGCATGCCGGGCTAACTGCAGCGCTTCCAAGATTGGGAGGTAGCAATACCCTACCAGGCCTGGGTACATGCGACGAACAGCAGGAGGAGCAGCATCAGCCAAGCCGGTGTTCTACAGAGTATCCCGACGTCGGACGGATGCAATCTGGTGGTGCAACCGGCGCGCACGCTTTCGTTTGCTCCCCTCATGCTGATCCTACCGCCGACCCTGTTCCCTACCCCACAGCGGGGGGTTGGCGAGGGTTTTGGCCTACTACACTCAGTCTAGTAAGTCTGGGGGCTTGATACTATGCCGCCTGGTCCGTCCACTTCTCTCCAAGTGCGGAGTCCCTTACTCGTGGTCATCCCGTGGGGACCTCCAAAACGGCCCGATCAGCGTCCACTTAGCAGGTACTGTACCATGTATGTACGTACGTGCGAGCATGTATGTAGTATGTACGATTTTAAGGTATGCAGTGTAGTAGGCGACTCGCTGCTGGTCATTACCTATCGCTCGGGTGTTGCACTAACATGACTGGCTCCCCAGGGGGTGGGCGGTCGATCTGAGTAGTGAGATCGACATGACTATATAAGCTACCGTAGCATCCTGTCTGTCCTACGCGACGTCCCGGTTCGCGTTTTCATTTATCTGTCTGACTGCCTTGTCTGTGACTACTTGAGCGTAAGTGAGACGTCGCAGGTACGCATCTCGCTGTCGTCGCGCTTCTCTGATTCAATTCATCAAGTGAAGCTCTCACACCACACATACACTTGCGCCAAACACCGTAAACATGGACAAGAGAACATCCTTGGACAATGGTCCAGATCCGTCCTCGGACAACACCGTCCAGGTTACTCACGATGAGCACGATGAGAAGCTCGCATCTCAGGACCTGAAGCCCGAGCTGCCTCATGAGAATGGCGCAGGCCACCATGCTCATCATCGCGCTCTCAACATCATCGAGAATCCTCTCAAGGTAGGTTTCGCAGTTCATTGCTTGCCTCTTCACATGTCAAAATGCAATGCTAATTGGCCTGTTTCCAACAGCGCAAAACGCCTGAGCAGAACGTGGCAGAGGCCCGCGAGTTTGCTGAGACACATGGCCTGCCTGAGCACGCAACTCTCTTCGGCAAAGCTGCTCTCGTCGCCCGTGACCAGGACAACTTTGACTGGATCACTGAACTCGATGAGCATGAGCGCACCGCTCTTCAGTATGAAAAGGACCACAAGTGGCACGGCCCCAAGATGCTCTGGTACTCAATCGCTCTGTGTGCCGTCGGCGCTGCTACCCAAGGTTGGGATCAAACGGGTTCCAACGGTGCCAATCTTTCATTCCCCAAGGAGTTTGGCATCGATGGCAAGGGCAAGGATGAGTGGATTGTTGGTGTTATCAATGCCATTATCTTTTTGACCGCCGGTCTTATGTGAGCACCCCAATAGCGCTGAAGCTCCATGTTTCTCAATTGGTCACTAACCTCGTAAATTAGTGGTGCTTTCATTGTTGATCCTCTCAACCACTACTTTGGTCGACGAGGAGAGATTTTCATCACTGCTTGCTGTCTCACTGCCACCCCAATTGGATCTGGTTTCGCGAAGTCATGGCAGGGCCTGTTCGCTGCTCGTTTCGTCATGGGTATCGGCATCGGTGCGAAGAACGCTACCGTCCCAATTTACTCTGCCGAGATGGCTCCTCATCGTGTTCGAGGTGCCCTAGTCATGTTCTGGCAGCTCTGGGTCGTGGCTGGTAAGACTTCAATGAAAGACCCGATATCTTGACCTTTGCTAATTTCGCTCGTAGGTATTTTCTTGGGTTTCTGCGCCAATGTCATCGTCAAGGACACTGGCAGAATTGCCTGGCGACTTCAACTCGGCTCTGCCTTCATCCCATCTTTCATCCTCGGTATCGGTATCTTCTTCTGCCCTGAGTCTCCTCGTTGGCTCATGAAGCACGGGAAGCACGCCAAGGCTTTCCGATCCATGAACCGCCTACGGGCTCACCCTATCATCGCTGCCAGGGACTTCTACTACTCGTGGATCATCTACCAGGAGGAGCTGAAGGAGGCTCGAGGTGCCGGATACTTCTCCCGTTTGTGGGACTGCTTCGCCGTGCCCCGCATCAGACGTGCCAACTATGGTGCCTCGACGGTCATGATTGCCCAACAGATGTGCGGAATCAACAGTAAGTCGACCCAGGTCTTAACCGGGCAAAAATCAGCTATACTAACATGTCACAGTCATTTCTTTCTACAGCTCTACTATCTTCGAAGATGTCGGCTACACCTCAACACAAGCCTTGTACGCTTCTCTTGGCTACGGTGCCATCCAGGTCGTCTCTACGATTCCCACGCTGTTCCTGATTGATACCAAGGGACGACGAACCCTGACCCTGATTGTAAGTTGTGCATCACCAGTGTTCTTTCTCAGCTCGATGACTGACTATCCGCTTTATAGACCTTCCCCATCATGTGTATCACCCTACTCGCCGCTGGTTTGTCCCTGTTGAACCACCATGGTAGCCAGGGCGCTCAGATTGGACCCGTCGTCTTGTTCGTCTACCTCTTCACGATTGCCTACTCGCTAGGTGAAGGACCGGTCGCCTTCCAGTATTCTGCCGAGGTTTTCCCCACAATCCAGCGTGAGCAGGGCATGGCCTGGGCGGTCTGCATCAACAACACTTTTGCTGGTATTCTCAGTCTGACCTTCCCTCGTATGCGAACCGTCATGACTCCCACTGGAGCCTGTATGTCACCCCCCATTGACTACCCATCTCATTACGCAAAACGCTAACCTGGTTGCTGCAGTCGGTTTCTATGCCGGGCTTAACCTTATCGCCTGGTTCATGATCTTCTGCTTCGTGCGTGAGACCAAGCAGCTCACTCTCGAGGAGTTGGACCGTAAGTGGCCTTTCGATCTGATTCAAAGTACACTGATACTAATCATCCATCTACAGAGGTCTTCTCAGTCCCTACGAAGAGTTTCATCGGCTACGAGCTCAAGGTGTGGCTTCCTTACTTCATCAAGCGCCACGTCCTCCGCAAGAACATCGAGAAGCCCCCACCGATCATCGAGAGGGCCGAGAAGGACGTTACTGTCTAAGTTTTGGCAGTCTCGTATGGCGGGCGGATGGATCATGGGCTTGCGAGATGATACCCCTCGTGAGATGCGTTGCGGCCTACTCTCATTTGGAAGAAAGAATCACGGATAGGCTTATGAGCCGTGTCCGCTTACATTTTGGAATACCCCGGAACATATGTTTCACTCACATGGTCTGATTCAATAATCGATCTGAATCGGAATTTACGAAAGTATTTATATACCACGTTCTCTCGACATATACAGCCTAGAATTAGGAAGATATAATTAGAGAAGAATCACAGTAGTTGCTGTCACTTGACTTACCCTTGCGGTTCATGCCTTGCGAACAAATGAGCAGTGTATTATACTAGGAAATCTTTTGTCGGCCGACAGTGATATTGTTCCTGCAGTTCAAAGATAACGACCAAGCACAAAGATATACAGAAAGGGCTTCGTACTAGTCAGTATGATCCGCTCCAGCGTCTTGTGGCCCTGACACGCATACCTGACCATCTCCCTGAATCCAATCCTCGCTAAGCACGTATACGGCGTTGGCGATACTTTCCGGCAGTAGAAGGAGGTCAAGTGCGCAAAGGCGCTGAACATGGCGATGTTGATCTGGTTGTGCCGCTCGTCGTAGCACTCGGCCGGCAGACGCGCAAACCTCGGCATGCGCGTGGGGTCGCACACATCGCGTTCGGTAATGTACGCACCCATCCAGAAGGCGGTGGCGCGGCCGAGTAGGTACTCGGTTGCGAGGTGCAAGTTGCTGAAGGGCGCGAAGAGCTCCTGGTAGACGATGTATGCCGTGAGGAGCGTTAGGAGAAGCCCTAGGCATAGGCTCTTGGTGGAGATGCGAGGTTGGATCCTCCGGCGGGACATGGCTGCTTCCATTTTGAGAGAGTTGGTTCCTGACCTGCAGGGAGTATCAAAATGTTTGGGGAGATATGGTTAGGTAATGTCGTGAACTTGGGTGTTAGAGAGGTTGCTGGCTTTTCTTTCTTTTTTAAAAGAAGGGCGCGAGCTTAGACACGATAGCAGTTGTGGGCTATTGAATTAATTCTGTAATAAGAACGAGGACGGATATCTCAGAGTACTTATAGTACTTCTGATGTTGGGGTTTCTTTGTCTCTAATATATAATATCACTATCGTTTACAACGACGGACAATGGCCTCGTCCTTTAGCGCAGCGAGGAGGTGACGGCGTCTTTGTTGGGCCAGCAGAAACTCGGTTAACCAGCACAAGCATTGAAATTGGCACAAAAGAAGATCACTACCATCACAAAGGGCAGGGTCTGCAACAGACAGATGTGTGTAGTGGCAGCCTCGCCGTCCATATATGGAAATAAGTGGGGGTGGGCAACTTCAGACGGACGAGGTCATATAAGGGTGTTTAAAGTATCCCTAAATCAACAGCGGTGAGAAGAATAGCTCAGATGGTAGCGGCAGCGTAAATATCCATTGCAAACTCTATTAACTCCCTCCCTCAGACACGACGCCTGCCGTACACGGAACCCCAAACATGGAAGTGTTCCAGGCAGGATCCACGTCGCAACACCAATACCCATATCCGAAAGGAGGGCGCGCAGTAGATCAGGACGCTGTAAGATCCTGAGCTGGGCGTGAAGGAACGGTCGAGTATCGCACGGCCTTCCGTTCCTTTTTGATCTTTGGCTGCGTCGTGTGCGAGCTCCTCCAGATAGCTCTGCACCTCGAGCCTTGAGGCCAACTGGAAAGTCGCGTGTTCGAAACTGGCCAAGGACTTCTTTTTATTCTAAGATAATTTTAGACAACCTTACAAAACTATAACCGATATATCATAGCATTCAATAAGGTTGAACTGACCCAAAACATTATCACTCCGGCCTATTCCTTAGCCTCAACCGTCACTACCACCTCTCACTTTCGCCTCTGTCTTAACTACTCCTCCCGCTTCTATTTGTCTTAACCTCTTCCGGTTTTGCCAATGCAAACTCTACCGTCTCCAGGCCAACACTGATTCTCACCTGTGGTTCCCGCAGCCCGTACGACGCGTGATATTCCTCCTCCTCCGGCTCGCGGCCATATGTAATCGCGTTATATGGCAGAACCAGACTCAGATGAGCACCAAGGTGTGGGCCCTGGTGGACTTCTAGGTTGTCATAGAACGCTATTGTGCTGTCCAGATCCTCGAATTCGATGGACAGGAGACAACCGTGGCCTGGAGTGAAGTCGGCAGTTGGCTGCCTCATAAAGGCCGAGTAGTTTCCAGCAGTATCGCTCAGTGGAGGGTAGAATACTTTGACTACAGGCGACGCCGGGTTACTGACGTCTTTTTGTAGGCGTTCAGCAACTGCCAGCGCCATAGCATAGGGAGCGACTAATCCGTTTTCAATCCCTAAAGGCACTGACGGAGTCAGATGCCAGTTTACATCACATATTAGCGAATCCTGCCGTAGATCCGCAAATGCTTGGTCAAGTATCTTCTGCTATATTCGCCGCCGCAACTAGGCCTAAACTAACATAGCGAGTTGTAAGAATCTATAGACTCGGTCAAATCAAATTACTTAATAAGCACATATTATTTAGCTGCATTCAATGCTAGTTTATTTTCATTCAATCCTTGCCCTTTTAATCAGTTTTGCTTAGTCTATGTTAATCCTTGTCCATTCGATTTTGATAATCAGTCGCCTTCAACTCCAACGATATAGCACCGTAGTATATCATTATAATGATCGCAACTCTGAGACACATTTCGGGCTTGAGCCTGAAATTCCCGTGTCGATGTCGAGTATGCTGATTTCTGATTCCTCCATTCCGCCCCACGTGATCCGCCATCTCTCCCTCAGAGAACTTCCTCCTGGACCCAACTTTGTCACTCAACACCAGAGCTTCAAGTATCAGTTGCTTGATCTTGACGTCAACTCTTCTCGATAATTACTTTATGCGGCCCAGTTCTTTGATCCTCTTTCCCCTCTTCTCCCTTTCCTTTCATTGCCTTTCGGTTCATTTTTGAGAGTGGGTCAATGCACCCAACTTGCACGTACCGGTACAAGGTGGACAGGGATGAGAAACCCGTGTAAGATATAACGGAGGGCCACCTCCCACCGCCAAGTCAACTGAATGCAAGCAACATATAATCTTAAAATTAGCATATATCAAGTCATTAAAGGCCGGTAATAGCCTGAAATTGGGCAAGAGGTTGCTCGAGTCCTCCCGTTTCTTATATATCTTCATGCCTCGGGGGAACAGACAGCTTAAGAGTTTCTGTACGATGTGAGGTACTCAACCCTCGATCGTCTAGGAGCACAATACACTGAGAAGCAAAGGCGCCACGAAAATGATGCATCTCGGGCTTTCTATCACCTACACTCTGGCGTTGGTGACCAGTGCTCTGGCCGTCCCATCGCAACAGCTAGACACTCGCCAGCAGCAGTTCAAGTCGACAGCCATCACCGACCATGCCGAGCCATGGGCGATCGCCTTCCTGCCCGACAACCGCATCCTCGTCACCGAAAGACGAGGCAACCTGCGTCTCGTCGACCCGGCCACCAAGTCCAAGGGCACCATCACCGGTGTGCCCACCGTCGCCTACGGCGGTCAGGGTGGCCTCCACGACGTCGCCTTGCACCCCAAATACGCCGAGAACAGTATTGTGTATATCAGCTACGCCGAGAGCGGCACTGGCGGGGCGGGCGGCGCAGTCGCACGAGCCAAGCTGACGCTGAATGCCGACGGCGGCGGTGCGCTGTCCGGCCTCGAGGTCATCTGGCGCCACTCGCAGAAGGCCTCGGGCGGACTCCAGTTCGCCTGTCGCCTGCTTTTCGGCCCCGACGGTGCGCTGTGGATCTCGTCCGGCGAGATCAACCAGATGACCCCGGCCCAATCCATGACCGGCAACCTCGGCAAGATGATCAAGCTGTACGACAACGGCACCGCCTTCGCGGGCAACCCGTTCGCCAGCCAAGGCGCCGTCCAGGCGCAGATCTGGTCGCTGGGCCACCGCAACCCGCTAGGCATCGACTGGGACGCCCAGGGGCGTCTCTGGGAGGTCGAGATGGGGCCGATGGGCGGCGACGAGCTCAACCTGATCGAGCGGGGCGCCAACTACGGCTGGCCGCTCGTGTCCGAGGGCCGCCATTACGACGGCCGGACGATCCCCGCGCACAGCACGCGCCCCGAATTCGCCCCGCCCAAGGCCTTCTGGGTCCCCGTCATCTCCCCGGCCGGCTTGATCATCTACAAGGGCGACCTGTTTTCAAGCTGGAAGGGCAATGCCATCATCACCAGTCTCAGCTCACAATCAATTGTGCGCGTGACCATCACTGGTGACACGGCGAAGGAGGCTCAGCGCATCTCAATGGGTAAGCGCATGCGTGGTATCCGAGAGGACAAGGATGGCGCCATCTGGGTGATCGAGGATGGTGCTAGCGGCCGGCTCTTGAAGCTTACCCCGAACTAAACTTGTGTTAGCAAGAGACTTGGGAGGTCTGGGACCGCATGTACATGAGGGAGAGTTGAGATAGCAGTTGCCTCCGAACTTTGGCGGAGAGCTGGGATATTCAGTGAGGAGAGTTGGATCTGTCGAAAGCTTCTATCTCATACCGGTACTCGCTTCATATATTATGATCCGAAAATAGTGGGTCAAGGCTGCCATTTTTAGAAGGCCAAACATCGACACATGAACTTTATGTGAAATTGTAACCGTTCAATTCTACCCTATAAGTAAAGACAGAGTCTTTCGTAAATGTTTAGATATAGTGTTTGACCTTCAGCTGCGGTTCTTTGCAGTTCTCCAGGACTTCAATTATGTAGGTAGTAGGTGAGGCGTCCGAGTAGCGCGAATCCCGCACTGGCTCCAGCACCTTAGCATAGACACAAGAAGCAAATCCATAAAATAACTTTTCAACCTTTTTTCGTGGTCGTGGTGGTATAAACTTGGTGAACTAGTTGATGTATGTTAGAGATGGACAATCTTTAACCACAGTCGCTCAACAGGGTCGATACTACTACTATACCCTGGCTCCCAAATTGCTCCCGGATACCCTACTGTTGGGTATGCGGGTGATGGGCTTAACCAGACCCATATTCAGGATCGAATCACGAAGACAGGAGTCAACTATAAGAATATGACAACATCGTTGGATCAAAACTCTCTTTCCATCAGGAGCCAGTACATTTCAGCAACGCAGCCACCGAGAGCAACCAGTTGCATCAATCTGGTGGCTGTGCCCACGGAGGACGTCGAGCAAACAATTTTGGATACCGCCAGGAAACTCGAGGATCTGCGTGCACCGCCAAACCAGTTAGGAATACAATTTTTGCAGATTGGGCAAAACGAACAAGCAGCAAAGTGGCTGAAGATGTTGAATGACAAGCTCTACGAGATATACAAGGTCAAAGATGTAAGTTTTGCTCTTAAAAGTGGGCACTGCAGTTGCTGATGCATGGGCTTCTTAGATCGTCGATACTAGGCCGTTCAACAGCCCGAATAGGATTGACATATCGTTTCAGAAAAGGCTGGAGCAGATCCTGCTTGGTGCTATCTCGCGAGATATGGACGAGACAGAGACTGAGGAACTTAGCCAACGGCCTGGGTTGGATGGTGGCGCATGAACTAGAAACGTCAAGGAATACAAGATCATCGAAGAAGTTATGACATTTATATAGTGCATATGAAAATGCTGTTTTTTTTTTTTTTTTTTGAAGTTGTATCACATTAAAAGCTGTTAGCAGCGAGGGTATGAGCTTTGAACTGGGAAAAGGACTGCTAAACAGTCACTCCTAGGTGATATTTAGAGGGACAGGTGTCATAGCTTGGAAGGGCGAGATGATGTAGCACGCTCAGATTACTATGATCACAATAATAGGGCAGTACTCACATATAAGTAGACACTTGATGATGAATGAGAGATAATGTGTTTAAAAATAATTATAGAGTATGGATGATCCAAGCCTCGGAACTACTAGGGTTTCATCCGATCGATCTGGGCGACTTTGTCACCGTGTATGACTCCCACTTCTTGAATTCATCTAGCCTTTACGCTTCTAGGCGCGCTTTGAGAAAACAAGCTATCCGCTGCTGGGTATTCTGATCCAATACACCTCTCTCTCTCTCCAGCGTATCCGCGCTTCCTGCCAAATCTTCTCCTTTCAACTTCATTCTCATGAACCACATACCACGCGCTCTTTGAAGGAGATACCACGAGATGGTACTGATAACTCTTAGAGGAAAGGGTGAGGCGGGCTACGTCGACGAGGACCCGGTCACCTCTTCGGCTGAGCTCTTCCAAGACCTCGCTGCAGATTGGAAGGGACACGGACTGAAGACGACAGAACAGCTCGATGACGACCTTGAGATCTTAAGCAATGGTCGCGATCACCAATATGTCTGGATGACATCCTATGAAGACATAGACAGCACTGCTGCCAGTGCAGCTCGTCCCAAGATTATCGCCAACACCCAAGGCTTTGCCGGCGCCATGATCTACGCGTACCAGAATGACCTGAGCATTGTCATTCGCCCCGACGATGTCTGGCTTGCCATTCTCATCCAGTTCAGCTTCTACGTAAACAAGCACGCAGATGAGCTCCGCCCCAAGATTGCCGGCTATGACGGAAAGAAGCCATTGGAGATCGACCTGCGCCACGACCTCAACGACAAGAGCCTGCGCGGGCTCGCTCAGAAGATCATCAACACCCTAAGCAAGGACGTGATCACTACGAAATTTGCGTCAAGCTTGCTGCCTTCATTCAACACCACGAATGAGACAGACAGGTGGGTCGCGACTATCGCGATCCTCGGATCGCTGAAGCACTACCTGGAGGACGTACCAACTGGCAATTGCGGCCTTGTGAGCGTCAGACTCGACGGAAGAAAGCCAGATTGGAAATCGATCTGCGACCGCGTGAAAGCGCTTGGCGAGGGCAACTACGGCGAGGAAGTAAAGGAGTGGGCGAGCTATCTCTCAATCGTGTGCGAATACTTCCTGGCATCAGTGGAGAAGCGAGGTACGGAGGAGATCAAGTCCTTCTGGAACCTGATTTGCCATGTTGGCGGGAGACAAGAGGAAAACTCAACTCCGACACTTGGCGGTTGGATCACGGCGTTTTGTTTCTGGGACCCGGATAGAAACCGGATCAGAAACTACTCGCCCGAAGAGATCAAGGGGATGTGCGCACGGGATGGGGAGGCACGTCAGGATGTGATGCTGAACGGCGTCCGCTTCCCGGTCATCTCGACTGAGAAGTCCATCCCGGCGGGCGTGACGGAGTTTAAGATGGTTGTGGCTCAGGAGCATGAGGGTGTTCAGTACGAGGTGTCAGTCATCGCTGGCTTGATGGCGCTGAAGTGCATGAAGCACGCGACGGGCCGTACAGGCTTGGACACCATCCAGCTGGTGCCGGGATACTGGATGGTCGAGGACGACTGCAAGCCGCTGTGGACACCGCAGAAGGCTTTGTATGATTAATTGGAGATTCACGAACGACAAGGGAGCTTACAAGCGTATGGTGAAGCTTGCGTATGGAGGCAAGCAGGAACAGAATAGAAAGATCGGGTTCCTGATTGATACTAATAAGTTTGCTTACCTACAAAGGCCGACGGATTTGGCTCGTTTATATGCGAGCTAAAGCAAGGTACTTATTAGCGTGTTTACCAAGAAAATCCCCTGCAGCTGACAGAGCTCAGCTGGTGCCCAAAACTTCGAGAGTGCGGCGCTCGCGCACTTGCGTTTCTTTTCTTCCTATCGTATTATAGGCAGAGCATCAAAGTCTTGGTTGTGGACAATCATATCGTTTGTATTTCTGTTGAGAACATGGCTGCAGGTGGTGCATCGCCAAAAATCTGGCGCGATTATGTTTGGCTTGGTTTCTTTGTGATATGTGCCGCCGGCATGATCCGTAAGGCTGTCCGCGTATCTCTTTCGAACTCGAAGACTGACCAGTATTTCAGTTGTTGACGGCGTGGCTCATTATCCCAAATGGCTGTACGAACCAAAGGACGCGCCACTGCACTTCCTCCAGATCCTTCGGGATTGGTACTTGGGGATGTTCAATGATCCTTTTGTCCAAGAGGACAAGGCTCCCAACTGGCTTAAACCATTCGTTTTTCTGGAGTTTACCTTCTTGTTCCCAACGGCCGTCTACGCTACATACCGCCTCAGCCAAAAGAAGGGTACTACTGGCCAGCTTGAGCTGCTGTTGCTCATCTACGGCTTCGAGATGGCTATCAGCACCTATCTCTGCATCAATGATATGGCTCTCTGGGACCCTGTGGCATACCCTACCGCTGTGAAAAATGCATTCATCTACCAGATCTACGGGCCATATGTTATACTCCGTAAGTGACGCCTGACTCCCATACCCCTGTCTGACCTAACATTTTGGAAGCCGGGTTGCTGTTCGTTGATATGTACTCGAGATTGCTAGCTCGCTTTAACAGTACAGACGTTGCAAAAAAGACACAGTAAATGCACCGTCATCATGCAGAAGAGAGAGAAAAAAAGGGGCAGGCGGTTGGTGGAAGGAAACTGGTTAGTATTATCACGATTTAACATTGTATTATAATGATTTGACATTCGACGGGTATTCGTTCTGCAAAGCGTGTTCGGCGCTAGCTTCGTACAAACTCCTAATAACACATCCATGGCGTTGAAAATGGCCGCCAAATCGTCCCATACTTTTACCCCTAATATGTACAGATAGAAGCGTTGGTCTACCGTCATGATACAGGCATCCCGGATCGACTCGCGTGAGACTTCTAATCGACGTTCCTCTTTGCCATGCCCCATCCGTTGCCAACCCCATTGACCCCATAACCCAGCGGTGTTGCTCCGCCAAGGCTCCGTCCCTTGAGTCTCTTGGGCAATACCATGCCAAAGAAGTATACACCAGCGATGCACGCGCCTGCCAGGAAGGACACCAAGCTGTAGAAGACTGTGCTGGCATATATGTGCCCCCCCATGCCTTGCCATTCTACATGGCCTTCCGTCTTGGGCAGCGCGGGAGTCGGGAACCATCTGACGCTGAAGGTCAAGGGCAATGGGTCACCGATGACCAGGCGTTTCGTCTGGCTTCCCTCCATATGGCTCAGGGGACTCGTGCTATATGCCGCTCCACTGTCCAGAACTCCACTATCATGAGGGTGGATATGATGTTTCGGTGTGCTGTGTAGTAGGACGTTTAGATGTGTGCTAATATGTAGATGGCTCAGCTGCAGAGTGCCCGCTAGGGCAAAGACCAACGGGATGTATTCTCTCTCGGCGGGTTTCTCTCCAACGGTCTCGATGTGCGGCGGCGGACGACTTGGCAGACGGCAGGATAGCGGCGCGTCGGAGTGGATATAGAACTCGAGCAAGTGGAAAAAGGGGTCGGAGACCATGGGGATCGTGCAGTTGACCTCATCTTCGATGCCGTAGTGGAACTCGAGCGACTTGCCGGTCTCGTTGCAAGCCGGGAAAGGAATCCATTGGATTTCGTGATTCTTAAGCTCGATATGCTCGCCGGTTTCTCTATAATTGAGGATGCAAGTCAGCGACCATTCGAGAGCGGAAGTGTAGCGACTGCAAGGGGCCAAAGAATGCGACGCTAACGCTAGAGTTTCCTGAGCTGCTACGACGTGAGACAAGCAGTATGAGGCTCAAGCTACGACATCGTGACCCTTTGAAGCACAAGCAGATCACTGCTGATAACTTACGAGCTCCGGTTCATGCACTCGACGCCAATGGGGGCGCCATAGTGATACGAGGGTAGCGCGAGCTGGTTAGCGGCGACGAGGTTGCTGAATGACACCAGGAGGAAGACCAAGCCGAGGAGATGCTGCGGCGCAAAATCCATTTTGACCTCTTTCGCTCTCCCTCGCGCTGCGATTCCAAACAGCGATTGACTATGACATTGACCTGGACATTGCGATGTCGTGTGAAGAGAAGAGAGAAAGCCAAGGCAAGCTAAGAAGCCAGTGGACAAAGGCTACGAAACTCTGGCGCGATAAACGTGGCATTGAAGATTAGTGTGGCTGGAGTGACCTTATCAGATAACGCTCGGCGCGCCGAACATCTGGGCAGATCAAGCGAAACCTTGACTGAAAAGAATCACGTTAGCCACAGGATTCCTCATATCACGAGGCAGATATACTGAATGCGAACCATCTAGTACAAGGGGAGAAACGAGATCTTCTGCCTATTCACTCAAGCAGCTAGAGTTCACAGGTTAAGGAAATCCACGTCCCTACAAGTACTTGTCCCCGCGATAAGCCACAACCTTATTACTGTACCGCACCGCCACATTTGGGCGTCGGAAACTGGACGAGGTCATTTTCTCGAATCCACGACTTCACTCGAAACTTGTCCCAAAGGCAACGAATCTACCTAACGACAACTTGCGCACAATACCGGAACGTACTCGTCGTTTCTGACAGCATTTCTCTCGATCTTTAGCGAATCTTTGGGACGGAGGGAATACGTACAGCCTCTGGGGCTGATATTGCTCTCCGGCAGGACTCATATTCTGGCAATCCTGCCTGCGTACCTAGGGTACCAGATCAACAAGCACCTCGGTAGACACAATAAAGACGCATGAACCATCGCGAGTCTACGATACAGTAGGTTGAGGTTGGAGACGATCGTGCGTGGAGCATGGCACCGCACGCCCCTAGATCCCAGATGGCCCAGCAGCTTCCTACACCAGCTACGCCTGCGCCGCCGGTGACCGACGAGCACCCGCCCGTGAAGGGGCCTAACCCAGGCTTCATCTCTATTGCGAATCAGTACACCTTCGAGCAGAAGATCCGACGTATGCAGAAGGAGAATGGTTGCGATCCAGCTAGGGAGGATAGCTACCGGCTGCAGGGCGTCCAGCTGATCGAGTCTGTTCGCGAGGCATTACAGCTGTAAGATCTGACCATATGCCGCATCTGATACTCAAGCTGACAAGAAATTCAGTCCGGTCAAGACGTTCGATACTGCCTGCACATACTATCACAAGTTCCGTCTCTGCTTCCGCGATGCCGAATACAACTATCAGGATGCATCTCTCGCGTCTCTATTCGTGGCCTGCAAAGTGGAAGATACGATCAAGAAGTCTAGGGAGATTCTGTGTGCGGCGTATAACCTCAAGAATCCTTCTCAATCTACCACTCAAGACGACAAGGTAAGACCATTGATTGGGATTGAGTTGGGCATATACTGACTAAACACAAGATGTTCGAGCAACCCTCGAAGATTATCATTGGTCTTGAGCGCCTCATTCTCGAGACAATTGGGTTCGATTTCAGAGTCAGGTACCCACAGAAGACGTTGATCAAAGTGATACGGCAGCTATTCACTCCTGACGAAGCACGGGAACTCATCCCCTTGGCATATCAAATGTCGCTTGATCTATACAAAACATTCGCGCCTGTCAAAGAGTCGACGTTCACCATGGCTTTGGCTATGGCTGAGCTAACAACGCTCATAACAGACCGCCATGTTGAGAAGATGAGATCTGTGGACCTGACCAAGTATCATACAAATAGGGGCAGTGTGGTGGAGACAATGCTCGATCTTCTAGATCTTTACACACAATTCACGAAGTCAACAAAGGTCGGCAACAAGGTCGATCTCTCCAAATTTATCGACATCAAGATCAAGCTCAACCAAGAAGTGGAGGCGACAACAGGACTTTCCCGGTTCCAAGATCTGTGTGAGAGGTGTGAGGTTGATGACGAAAGAAAGTACCCGATAACACCTGGTTCAGCAACGTCACCAGCCACAACAGGCTCGTGGCCAGCGAGCAGCTCACTCAAGCGGGGAAAGCAAGGTGGAGAACAGGGAACCATGAGGTTTGTGTTTGACGCAGAGGAGGCGCGAAAGGAGCAAGACACCGTTGCCGAGTACTTCAAGGAGGAGTATGAGGAATATCAAATTGAGGTCGAAGAGCCTATTCCCGAGTCCGAAAACCGTGGCCACCACGGCAGAGATAGAGGGAATCACCATCACAACAATCATCGGCATCATCACGACTCGGGCTGGGCACCCTATCATCGAAATCGACAGCACCATGACAACAGGCATAAGGGAAGGAAAGGGGGATACTATTAGCACTAGATTTTGCGACAGTGCGGTTTGTGCATTATTTTGGCGGATTGATCCGGCGTTATCGGTCTGAAGATACCCAGTGGAATAAAATCAACAAGTTCATTCATTCATATACCTCACGATTTGCCGTATATGGATGATGCCCGACACGTTCACGGCGAATTTCTCGGGTGCCAAGCCGCACCGATTAGCTCTCCGGGACTAGCGGCTGCTCGCGATGAGGAGGTCATGTTGTAGTCACCACACAAACGGCAGCATTCTATTCGTGTGGTTTCTCCGCAGTCATTGTACGTCCAGATTCTGGGGAACATCGGCTGTCCCGTCTTGGGCCGTTTCCCCACACCTCGTCTGCCGAGTGGTTTTGCGGGGTGCGTGATCCAACATCGGAACAGGCTTCTCGGTCTACACTTGCCCGCATTGTTGAGTTCTACTGACACTGACAAATGGCGAGATGAACATGAAGTGACCCTTGCCCCTCCCTCCATGCCCATCTCATTAGTTTTGCCGTTGTTTACCCTTTAGACGCTTCTTTGCGACCACAATTCCGCTCTAAATCCTCAACCGGCCCCGCCTTCTCCAACTCTCCTGACGTGTTTCCCGCTGTCTGTTCCCGTCATCAAGCATCTTAGGCTCATCAAGATGCAGTGCCACCCCGCAATTAGTTCATGGATACAATGGTCATGTTTGCTAGCCGTTGTGCAGAAGGGCCGATTGCGATGAACTTCCCCTCAGCATTCTCATGGAATTTACGAACTCAGGGAAGGATTTAAGTAGACTATCCTTGTAGAATGGACATAAGTTACCAGTTCATTCGCACGCCGATTCAAATTATAGCGGGCAGAAGTCTATTGACCTTGGTAGGTGATCTGGTGTAATGTTAATGTATTCTCAACTGAGAGCTGGCCTTGTGGGCCTTGCGGCTCTGGGCCTTTATGCTCGCCAAGCTGCGGCTCAGTCGCCGATAACAGACGACACTTATTTCTACGGGCAGTCTCCTGAAGTCCCCGCCCGTAAGCAGGCTCCGTTTAGCTCGGGCAGTCTCTAATCTAACATTGAATCTAGCCATCGCCAACGGCTCGGGGAATTGGGCCGATGCATATTCCAAGGCAAAGGCGTTTGTAGACCAGCTGAGCCTAGAGGAAAAGGTCAGTTCAGGATTATTTCATGGGCATCAAGACAGCTAATAGATTATTAGGTAAACTTAACTGGAGGTGTCACGTCAAATTCGGCATGCTCGGGTATTATACCTGCTATACCTCGCCTTAACTTCCCAGGCTTGTGTCTGAGTGATGCTGGCAATGGCCTTCGTTCAACCGATTTCGTGAGCAGTTGGGCCTCGGGCCTGTCTGTGGGCGCTAGGTCTGTGCAGCTTCTTCTTCCCTTTTGTGACGAATTGTATTAATTATAACGTAGTTGGAATCGCGACCTCGCACATGAGAGGGCTGTTGGCATGGCTCAAGAGTTCCGCAAGAAAGGGGTAAATATCGCACTTGGTCCTGTTGTAGGGCCCTTAGGGCGTATTGCATCCAGTGGCAGAAATTGGGAAGGTAAAATCGTCAAAGAGGTCCAAAAGGCCGACGTTGACACCGTATAGGCTTTTCGAACGATCCTTACCTTTGCGGCGCGTTGGCATATGAAACCGTCGACGGCATTCAATCCACTGGAGTTGTCACTAGCACGAAGGTGGTGCCAATTGTTCATTTCAAAGGCTACTGATATACTGACGAATTGTAGCACTTTATTGCCAATGAGCAAGAAACAAACCGCAACCCGAGTGGAAATGTCTCTGCGGTTTCCGCGAACATCGATGATAAGACTATACACGAGTTGTATCTCTGGTGTGCTACATAGCTCTCCTTCTCCAGGCGAGAGCTGGCTAATCTTTGGTCACAGGCCTTTTCAGGATGCAGTCAAGGCTGGAACGGGTAACATCATGTGCTCGTACAACCGTATTAACAACTCCTACGGTTGCTCCAACAGCAAGACTCAGAATGGGCTTCTAAAGACCGAACTTGGCTTCCAAGTAAGTTTCTATGATTTGGTATCAGAGTATCTCTAACATTATAGGGATTTATCGTGTCTGACTGGGGAGCGCAACATGCCGGTGTGGCAACGGCGCTGTCAGGTTTAGACATGGTCATGCCTCGTGCCTCTCCTTTCTGGGGAGCAAATTTGACTGCTGCCGTCAATAACGGCTCGGTTCCCGAATCGAGGATCGATGATATGGCTACTAGGTAAAAATTCTTTGTTGGTGGGAATATCTACTAAAGCTGATACTTTGTAGAATTATTGCAACTTGGTATCAATTTGGACAGGACAAGATTTTCCCGAACCCAGGCTTTGGAATGGCTAAAGACTTGACCTTGCCTCATGAGACCGTCATCGCCACTGACTCCGCGTATAAGGATACGCTCTACAATGGAGCTTTGGAGGGGCATGTCCTGCTGAAGAACGAGAATAACGCGTTGCCACTGAAGTCACCGAAGCTGATATCGCTATTCGGGTACTCCGCAAAAGCACCAGACCAGGATAACCCCAGCTCTGCAGGATGGAATGGCGGAAGCCAGTCTTTAGGCCCACTAGATTCAATCACTAACAATGGCACAACTGTTCATTCTCAGATTGCATCAAACGGCACGCTGGTCTCGGGAGGTGGCTCGGGGGCAAATGAGCCAGCTTACATCAGCTCTCCCTTCGAGGCCCTTAGCATCCGAGCTCAGCAAGATGGGACACATCTGTGGTGGGACTTCCAAAGCTTCAACCCACGCGTCGACCAATCATCTGACGCCTGCATTGTTGCTGTCAACGCGTTCGCTTCCGAAGGCTGGGACCGGCCTGGTCTGCATGACGACTTCACTGATGGCCTCATCGAAAATGTTGCGGCTAATTGCAGCAACACAATCGTTGTCTTCCACAATGCTGGTGTGCGTCTCGTTGACCAGTTCATCGACCATCCAAACGTGACGGCTCTGATATTCGCCCATGTACCAGGGCAGGACTCAGGCAAGGCTCTGGTTTCGCTGTTGTACGGGGATGAGAACTTCTCTGGCAAGCTACCCTACTCCGTCCCGAAGAACGAAACGGATTTTGGTCCACTGGCAAATGCAACGGAACCTGACGGTATCTACACTCTCTTCCCGCAGTCCGACTTCAGTGAGGGGGTGTACATTGACTACCGTGCCTTTGATGCCAAGGACATCACACCACGATATGAGTTTGGGTTCGGCTTGAGTTACACCACCTTCTCGTATGCTAATATCAAGGCCTCATGGGCATGCTCAAAGAAGAGCGATCCGTATCCGACAGGCGAGATCATCCCTGGCGGACACAAGGATCTGTGGGATGTTCTTGCTAAGGTCACGGTCGACATCACCAACACTGGCAAGGTTGCTGGGGCGGAGGTGGCTCAGCTGTATGTTGGAATTCCGGATGGCCCGGTGCGGCAGTTGCGTGGCTTTGACAAGCCGACGATAGAGCCTGGAAAGACAATCACGGTGACGTTCAAGTTGACAAGACGTGATCTGAGTACATGGGACGTTAGCGCGCAAAATTGGTTGTTGCAGAAAGGTGACTATACTTTCTACGCTGGTTCTAGTAGTCGCGACTTGCCGGTGAAGTCGAGTCTGAGTATCTAGAATCACTAGTACGTGATTGAACAACCCAATGATATCGCTGCCCGTCTTTCGCCGGGTTGCAATTCTTATAACAGCTATTCTGGCGTCTTTGACTCACGTAATCCTATTACATCGTACCGGTTTTGCTTTGCAACTCTGAGTTGTCGATATCAAACCTCGTCAAGTCTTTCTGTCTAACTACTGAAATTGCCTTGGTCACACACTGTTTTACCTCAATAATGAAACAGGGCAGCAGTGCCTACTGCTGACCAACACCCACTCAAGATATCACATAGCATACACACAAAAAGAAGCCTCCAGGGCAAAAAGAACGTATTGAGAATGAAGGGGTAGCCATTCTTGTTGAAGCGAGTAAAAATGAAGTAAGTAACAGCAAATGAGTCACCTGATTGCTGGCAGGGGTAAGACCATGCTCCCCTAACTCAATAGTCTTATCTTAGAAGCCTGGAATATTTGATTTGCTCGCTACTTCAACCTATGAAAATCATTTATTTCTGTTACACGGATCTAAAGAGAGAGGTTTGATAAACCCTCATAGCCTTGTCTGTGACTTCCCGTTTTCACCATTTATAATTCATTGATAGGAAATACTTTGAAGCCTCAGCCTAGTCATCGATGACATCTGGAGTCCATCAGTTTCTTCTAGACTGAAACATCATCTACTCCTCAATTGACAAGCAGCCATGGAAGCGCTGGCGGCCATCGGCCTCGCGTCTTCCATCATCACGTTCATCGATGCAGGTGCCAAAGTCATATCGATGGCCCAACAGATTCAGTCTTCGTACTTCGGCGTTACCGAGGAGAATGCAGAGTTGACATTATGTACGCAAAGAATCAAGGAGCAAGCAGGGGTCCTTTTGAAAAGTCCCATTGCTCCTGATCCTTTTGAGGCTGGGTTGATAGAAAGAGCGAACGAATGTGTTGCACTCTCCGATGATTTACAACATCTGCTCGAAAAGCTCAAATCGGCCAAGCCGGGATCCAAAACCGCGACTTTGAAGGCTCTTGGCCAAAATCTTGTCAAGAAGGACAAGAAAATAGCACTGAAACGCCGTTTGGATGATTGTCGTCACCAGTTGGAGCACCAACTAATCATTGTAGACGGGTGAGACAGCCGACCTTACACTGAGCATCAGTCTGACATGAAATTAAGCTCTAGAACTATGCGATGTTTGAACGAACTTATTGCGTCTGGAGCCTCGAGAGATCAAGACCTTCACCTCCTCACTCAGAGCATGGAGACATTGAGCGTGAGTATGAAGAAGATAGACCTGAGTTCTGAAGCAATGAAGCAACTTCAAAGTCTCCTTGAGCGCTCTGATCAGGCCGTAAATACTACACTGCAGCATAAAGTTCTCAAATACCTAGAAACCGATAAATTGACAGATAGGTTCGACGAAGTTGACGATGCCCACTCGAAAACGTACTCGTGGCTATTCACGAACGAGGACGAGGAAACGCCCCGGAATGAACATCTATCTTTCACACCTTATGGTGAATACGAAGCGAGAGCTTCTAGTTTCAAGCGACGTGAAGCAAAGAAAATATTGACAACCTGGCTACTCGAAGGGCATGGAATATTCCATATCTCTGGAAAACCAGGTGCTGGAAAGTCTACACTCATGAAGCTGCTGTGTGACCACCCGAGGACAGAGGAATATCTGAAGAACTGGGCTGCCGGAAGTAAGTTCATTATTGCAAAGTTCTTCTTCTGGAAGCTTGGAACGAAGATCCAGAAGTCAATCAAAGGTCTAGAGAGAGGATTATTGCACTCTGTTCTTTCTCAGAACTCTGAGCTTCTCAGAGTCCTCTTTCCCCAGCAATGTGTGGCAATTCGGCAGCATAACAGTGTCCATATCAGTAATGAGGACGTTGAAAAAGCCTTCAATACTCTGGTCACTACGGGATCAGCAACAGGATCCTATAAGTTCATGTTTTTCATCGATGGGCTAGATGAGTTGGAAGGAGATCATGCGATTCTGATACGTCAACTTTTCAAATGGACGTCTTTACATGCAGACAACTTGAAAATATGTGTGTCAAGCCGGGAATGGCTCGTCTTTCAAGAGCGACTCTCGGGTTGTCCACGAGTACGACTTCATGAGATTACTTATAAAGATATAAGCAGTTTCATCGAAGATGAATTAGAGAAACATGAAGATTTCATCTTATCAACTTGTCAAGGGGAAATCCGAACCCTGGCCTACAGCATCGTTCACAAAGCTGAAGGAGTTTTTCTGTGGGCTAAAATAGCACTTCAAAATCTTCAACAAGGATTGTTTGTTGAGGATCGAATCGAAGACCTTAGAAAGCGAGTTGACGAGTTACCTTGTGAACTGGAAGATCTCTATCAATCTATCTTTGAGTCCATTTTGAAGAAGAGCTCCCGATCAGACCGACTCAAGGGCATGAAGACCTTACATTTGCTCAAACAATGGGAGTCTCATTACTCTGCTATAGACCTACCTCAATGCTCACTCTTTGTTTACTCATTTCTTGACGAATACGACAACGATCCGGACTGGGCTATGAAGTTTCCATTACAGAAACTAGGAGAGGAGCAGTTATCTGGAAGACTGCGTCGGGCTAGAAAGCAAATTAGCTCACGGTGTCTTGGACTTGTAGAGAATCACTGCGAATTTCAAACCGGGGCTGCGAAATATCCCAATTATAAGGGTGAGGTGATCAGATTCGTTCACAGCTCCATCTACGAATACCTTGACCGAGATCATACACCTTCCGTCCTTGAGTCGGCGACATGCGAATTTGACTGGACAGACTTTTGGTTCCAAGGCTCAATCGCAGCGGCTATGTCGTTTAGTCCCGATGATGAGGATTGTGAACTTGAAATGAGCATCGAATCTATGGTTCAGGTTGCGATGCGGAGCCCATTATCAGGTATTAGCAGGGCAACTCAGTCTTTACATGCCTTTGCCAACATCATATATCAACACGGTCTCTTCCCTGTGACGTGTTCATACAACCTTTGCATGTCCACTGGAGGACGATGCAGGGAAAAAAAGGTTTACAGCCCAGCAGAAGCAGTCAGCTTTGTGGCAGCTTGGGAAGCATGGTACCCGTTCTTCTTGAGAGATGATAATCCTTTTTTGTACGAGAACACTGCTATGCTTCATCCATTGCTTTTAGAGGCACTTCTCGGAGCTCTCCTCTGGGGGGGACCTTCTTCGTGGTATTTTTACTGTTCTACGTCAATGGAAGAGAAACTGAAAGCCCTAGTGGTACTAGAAGATTGCTTAGAACACCATGTGGCACCTGATGTCCGCATGGCTTGCTGCGGACGCGCGCCTCTGTGGCAAGCATTCATTTTGAGAGCTGTTGACACTTACTCTGATTTAGCTCTGGTGGAACCGTCAATCAGATTATTTCTTCTATACGGTGCAGATTCTTCATTACAATTTAGATTGCAGAACTTCCGTCCTGCCTGGAATGAGAACGGCTATCGATTGACAGTGAGATCCTTAGCGAACGATAGCGAAATCCAAGCGGATGGTTTGTTTTCATTCGGGCCACTGGTCGAATTATGTCAGAAACATGATGGGGTAGTGGATTTGAGGCAGCTCGTTGAACTTTGGTTCCCTGGACGGCGTTCAAGAATCCTGCAGATGCTGATTGATCGAAACCTGGAAAGGGGAGGGCCACCACCATCAACAGAAGTGAATGAGCTGAAGGCTGATCGAAGTCTAGATCTCAATGTCCGGGAAGGCTTGATCTTTGAAAACTATGAAGCATTATTACGTCGTTGAGAGATAATTAGCTATGGGAGCCACATACTATTAAATAGCAGAACTCTCTATCCGAGATGAAAGATTTAATACGCATGAGAAAGTCGATGCCTTGAATATCTGAGGTCTATCAAGATATCGAGCCCATTAGGTCGCCTATTGGAAAGGTATGATACTTTCATAGTCCCATGATCGATACTTCTGTTACCCTGCATATTACAATGTGGTACATGTAATTCTACGATGCTTGAATTCAGGATCAAGAACTTGTGAGATTAGGCGGGAATTTTGGTCGACCGAATAATTGTAGTTTGGACGGCCTACACTATGAATAATACACCCAGTTCTCTTATAATTAGCTGGGGTATGCCTCCGGAAAGCAAGCTCGAGATTGCCAACAGTGGTAGAACAGACGGGGCGAAGTTGTCAACGCTGTCATCTTATCTGACTTTGTAGCACTCTTTGGCATTGAAGCTCGCCGTTCTGTCAGAATCATTTGACCGACTTGTGGTGGGCTGCTTGGTTGCCGAAGGAGTGGGTACCTACCAGGCATGCTACTAGCAGGCTCATAGAATCTTACAAGAACATGTAAGTAAGCGCAACAAACTGCCTAGTTGGGTACGCCAACTGAGATGCTTATGGCTGAAGAGTTCTCACAAATTTATACGCATGCACGAGCGTGTTAAATTCCGCACGGGATTGGGGGATCGCACGGCAAGGGCAGTGAGTGATCTTGCCTCGGTCGGAATTGACGCTATCAGTCATTACGCGAGGGCGTGTGCGCGCGTGGCTTTCTCCAGTTCGGCGGCCGCGACGAAACGTGATAGTTCACTAATTGAAGTGTCCACGGCGGCCGACACTCATATGTCGGAAGTCCCGCAAGCATTTGTTTTCAGTTGTTCCCATCCCCGTGTTTCGTCTCCTTCGAGGTCACCTTTATTCAAGGTCATGCTTGGCTCTCGATCGAAATGTCGATTCAACCGGGACAGAAGACGGTGCTGATCACGGGGTGAAGTGTCAAGGTGCCTCCTCAGCCCAGCGTGTTCTGACTGACTATCGTCCAGATGCACGCCTGGTGGTATCGGGTATGAAATGTGCCTTGCTTTCAAGGCAAAAGGTATGTTGTCCATCAAGAAGATGATCTCTCCCAGCTCGACTGAGGCGGTCAAAGGATTCCATGTCATTGCGACGGCCCGCAACCCCGCCGTGATGCAGACACTCGCTGGCGAGGGCATGAGCTGTCTACCGCTCGACGTCACCGATGAAGATAGCGTCGTGACCTGCCAGAAAGCAGTCACCAAACTGACAGGCGGCACGCTCGACATCTTGGTCAACAATGCGTAAGTATCGTCTGCCCTAAAACCCATTGTAAGAGGCTTGAAGCCAACCCACCGCAGCGGCCGCACGCACACCGTCCCCGCCACAGACCTCTCCATCCCCGACGTCCGCCAGACGTTTGAGGTCAACGTCTTCGGCGTGATGCGCATGGTGTCGGCCTTCGTGCCGCTACTCATCCCCGCCAAGGGCCTCATCATCAACATCTCGTCGACGTCCTCGCTGATACCCTACGTCTTCGGCTCCGCGTACACGGCCACCAAGGGTGCCGTCAACAGCTACAGCCGCACGCTGCGCCAGGAGCTGCGGCCGTTCGGCGTCCGCGTCATGGTCGCCCTGCCCGGCACCGTCAAGACCAACATCACGCAGCTGCCGCGCAGCCTGCCCGAGGGCAGCCTGTACAAGATCATTGAGGACATCTATCAGTGGCGGCTGACGTTCTCCAAGAAGACGGCGAGCATGCCGCCGAGTGAGTACGCGCGCAAGCTTGTTGAGGATGCGCTCAAGCCTGAGTGGCCTGTCTTGTTCAGGAGCTGGCTTGGACGGCCGGACTGGCACTATTATGGTGGCATGGCAGGGCTAGTGTGGGCGGCCAGTGTCGTGGGCGAGTGGACGACGGACATGGTCTTGTATCGCATGATGAAGATGCCGGTGTTGGAGAATCTGTTGAAGCAGGAGGAGAAAGGAATTAGGGTCGCGCCAGTGTCAACGGACAAGATGAAGGTCAAGTAGAGGGATTACTGCCAAGAGATTGATGCTGTAAGACGCTTGATGAATGCGAGCCTACGCCGCAAGGCGCCTTTGTAAGCTCGTGATTGGCGCGTGGCTCGACTGCATAGGCTATTGCCCTGCTGATGGCCGTTTCGATCTTCATGATTGCAGTGGTGAGTCTGTGACACCCGTGGCTTTTCTATATTTACTTAGAGTACATTTTCTACAAAGGAGAAAGGCAGAGGCCATTCCATGATCCCAACGGCAGCATAAGGCCTCACGAACCACCAGCCACTGAAAACGAACCAGGTGATGACCCACGCATAACCAAGCATTCGGTGAGAAAGGCAGGGTTGCAAGGTTGCTGTGTCTTGTACACCATTTTTTGCAGATGTACTGCTCTGTGACTGCCCGCTAGACGTTGCTCGAGGGTACGTATCCATCACCAATTTCTCAGCAATGGCAGCAATTGGCTGTGCCGTAAAGAATATCCCCATATCCGCGACGAGATTCTCAATAGCCAGGTAGCCCGGGCAGACGACTGAGATGCTTACGATGTGGAAGAAAGCGCTGATGAGGAAGGCGGTGGCTAGATGGATCAAGTATGCAGAAGTCGATCGACGAGGGAGCTTGAGCAGTGCAACTATGCCATGACTGAACCCAAGAACGGGCTGGACCGAGGTCAATCAATGAGAACGATCGATTAATTGTGTGTGAGCCTACCTGACGGATGTAGTCGTGCCAGAACTTGCCCCAGACGTTGGCGACAGTGTAGCAATTGAGGATATTGCCAAAGAGCGGCGGCCAGTCCTGATTGATCTTAGATATCTTGTATATAGTCCGGATAGAAACAGAGCACGTACCTCCGGTTGGTTCTGTAATAGACCAACACCGATGGCAGCAGAGACATCGAATTGCATCGACATTATCGCGTAGGTCGATGCCCCCATGAGCAGCTCTAGGAACGCTATCCTGCCTATTGTTAGGACATTCCAGGCCCACTGCTCGGGAATGACTGCTCTTTTCGCCGCGAAAAGACAAATATCGAGTGCTAGATATGCGACCAACGCCCGGAACACTTTTCGAGCGACGAACAAGACCCTTGTGAGGCCCTGGCTCCTCACAGCTTCCCTCTTCGCTTTGATCTGTCTGCTCGCAAAGTTCCAACCAACACCCCGAGGCGTAGCGACCAGTGCAGCTGCCCACCGCAGCTTCTCCCAGCTGAGGTCTCGTGGACCTGCTCCGCTTGGCCCCTTAGGGTCGTCTTCCCGCCAGAACTCACGCTCGGGAATGTGCAATAGAAGCTTCTCGACTACCGGCAGGATGAAGAACCAGGGGCCTGTCAAGCCGTATTTCATGGAACGGCTGCTGCTGCCCACATTCGACGGCCATGGCGACGAGAGGCATGCATAGTCAAGGAGGACGATGAGTGCAACGAAGAGGGTGGCACGACCCCGAAACGGTGGGCTGAAGAGCGAGAGTACGAGGGTGGGAGGGAAAGCAAAGTGCGGGAGGATGTCGAGGAATTGTAGTTGGTAGCTGGCCCCGACTTGACCAGTCTTCAAAAAGAGAGGCATGAAGCCGGTAATATTGGGTAACTTTTGATTATGCTTGGACTGTTTAGGAAATTCATCCTTCTGGTTTGGTCGTCCGCCGAATCCCCAGATATTAATCAACCTCTACGATGAGCACGGCTTCACATGCGTAGCAGTCAGCAGACAAAAACACATCACATCATGCCCAGCCATTAGGTCAATTGAGGTTTGTATTCATACTACCTAGGTATGTGGGAAGTTTTGTAACTCTGCTAGCCGAGAGATGAATTGGGTTTGGTGAGAGGTCAGGCGCTTGCTTGACAGCACGATGGTGGGGTGACAGGGCGTATTTTGGGCGACCAAGACACTGAGGCTGAGACTAGACCAGCACCACCAAGCCTTGGCAGAACGCCAGCACAATGCCCAAAGCTGTGTATCGTCTACCGAAGCCTGGGGATCAAGCAACACATACTTCTTGTGGTGTGCAATTTGGTGCAGGACCATTGAAGCGCACGTGATAGTTAAAGTGAGGAGCCTTGAACTTCCAAGGACCAACGCGCAAATGGCAGATGCTGCAATGTGTTCTAGATGCCTTCACCAGCCGGCTCATTGGCTCGTCATGCTGAAAGTCACCATGCAGCCACTTCTGCAAGGGAGACTTGCGCTTGCCCTGTGCCTCGATTAGCATGTTGCGTAAGACGAGAGTCTGATGAGGCTTAGGTTGCTCAGGGGGCGTGATGGAGGAGTCAGACAAATGCAAGCGGTTTCACAGGTTTCCCTCAATCCCGTCTTGAAACATATTTGGATTGGATTGCAATCATCATAGTGCACGCTGGTGGAGTGTACTGGGAGAGATGGTTTCCACATACCTAAGAACCGGAAGATTCAGCCGGAGTCTGCTCAAGAGCCGCTCGCGACGCCCGTGTGATGGGGGTTTGCGTGGCTCCACGTATAGTACGCTCTCATCTGTAGAATATCGAGTAGGGTCACCAGCCCCTATTCATGACGCAGCTCGCACGCACTCACGCACAAGAAGTGTAGCATCATCGTGAGAGTTAGGAGAAAACAGATGTAAGGGAAAAAGACATCGCGAAAATTCAGGTGGGCAATAAATCTCGAAATTATGTAAGCATCCTGCCTGGCCAAAGCTCCCACAGCTTCCGTTGCGCTGGGACGGCACAAGCCAATGGGGAGCCCGGACTGGTTGCTCAGCCCACCTGAACCGCCGTGATGACGACCAGAGCTTCCAGGCGGCCGCCGACTCGAAGCTTCCTTTTCCTCTCACAGGATTCTTTATCCTCGTGAAACAACTCGAATAAGTTCGTCTACAACTCGCGATATGATGGCGCTGGCACGGCATCTGAAGTTTCTGCTAACCTTCGGGTCTCTCGTCTCCGCGTTCGCATTGCCTTCGCTGCAGAAGACGCTGGATGACGACGAGGACAATGACGATACGCCTCTACCCTTGGTCATCTGGCATGGTATGTTGCGCTTCACTTTCCTCATCTTTTCAGCTACGCAACTGTGTCCTCGAAGCTAACGGTATATTACAAAGGTCTTGGCGATAACTACGCTGCTGCAGGCCTTCGAGAGGTTGGCGAGCTGGCCGAGGCCATCAACCCCGGAACACTCGTCTACTACATCCGCATGGACGAGAATGCATCGCGCGACCGCTCCGCCACCTTCCTCGGAAACGTGACCCAGCAGATCGAGAAGGTTTGCAGCGACCTCGCAGCTCACCCCATCCTCTCGACCGCTCCTGCTATCGATGCCCTCGGCTTCAGTCAGGGCGGCCAGTTCCTCCGCGGATACGTCCAGAGATGCAACAACCCGCCGATCCGCAGCCTAGTCACGTTCGGCTCTCAGCACAACGGCATCAGTTCATTCAGGGACTGCCCGTTCAATGACTGGGTCTGCAAGGGAGCTATGGCTCTGTTGAAGTACAACACCTGGTCCGGCTTTGTACAGAACCGACTGGTCCCAGCCCAGTACTACCGAGACCCACTGGAATATGACCAATACTTGGAGAACTCCAACTTTCTTGCCGACATCAACAACGAGCGTGTCTTGAAGAATGTGACCTACAAGGAGAACTTGGCGAAGCTCGTCAACTTGGTTCTGTACATGTTCGAGGAGGACACAACGGTCATCCCCAAGGAGACCGCATGGTTTGAGGAGGTCAATGGAACGGAGATCACCCCACTGCGCGCAAGAAAGCTGTACTCCGAGGACTGGCTTGGTCTACGGGAGCTGGATCGCAAAGGCGGGCTCAAATTCAGAACCACTCCTGGTGATCACATGCAGTTGTCGGAGAAGACCCTGAATGATACTTTCAAGGAATTCTTCGGGCCACTGAAGAAGACTTTCTCACCGGAGCCAACCCAGCTGGGGCCGGAAGAGCTGTAAGTGCGTGTAAAACACTTGGGGATTGGGTGGGGTGGGATTCGGCGTTCTACTAGCTTATGTTATCACTATGAATGCAAGCGTTTCTCGTGTTGTTACTTTGATATTGGTGCCAACTTTGTCATGGCGTTTGTTGTAGCAATCGGCAGGCGATTCAGTTGTGTTGTTGATCTAAGTCTCGAGCGACCATCATCCTGAGCCGCTCTCCGAACACTGCGGCCGCGGGGAAGACGAGTTGCGATAAACTTACTGGCTTCCACGCAAATAGACTGTGGCTTGCTTAGCACCATCCTTGTCTTTCAATAGCTGCGATTTTATTTCATGTTATCGACTCAAATCGGCATCGCCTGGAAAAGCTCTACTAGGGTACCCAGCACCCCATGGGCGCCACCACAAGCTCATTGGCGAGGCGGCTCAGAAGAGCCAAGCTGAATGGCTAGGCCCATCTGTCAGAATCAATAACTGCCACCATGTTTCTCTAGTCAGGTCTTGACAGACGAGGCTGGACCTCAATTTCGCGGAGTTAAGAAGCGACCCGTGCTATGCGGCTGAGATTCGATGTGTTCTAGGTGCGATTTATCAGGTCTCTTGATGGGCTGACTCTGATGGGTTGTGTTGCGCCTGGTGTGCGCCATTTTGCGCCGTCGGGAGGATACGATGCCATGGCGCTCCCCCATATAACACCTAGAGGCTCACCCTCGGCGCGTCTTTTGAGAGCTTCTGTTGCTCTGTCTGGCACTTGCAAGAGCTTTCTCGATCAGTTATTTTCAAGATGCGCATCATGTTAGCGCTTGCGCTGGGCGGTCTTGCTTTATCTCAGCAACGCCAAGTTGTTCGTGCAACTCCATTATCTACGGGAGAAGAGCACAATTCAATAGCCGGACCGGGAACTCGCAATCGCTCTGATCCAGAAGAGTCATCACAGAATCCTACACACTACGTACTCAATGATCTCAGACGGTCGAGTTTAGAGGATAGAACCAATTGTCCCGGAGAGCTTGATTGCACTGACATTGCTGTCTGCTGTCCTCTTGGAACAACTTGCTGTTCTATATATTGTTGCAATCCAGGCTATGCCTGCTATTCCGATGGACTATGTTATGCAGACAATGTGTAAGTGCTTCTAATGGCAGGTCATTGGGAGTTGGCATTAGGCCGAATGCTAAACAGTTCTTAGTTTGACGGTGTATTTCACCTCCACAACCTATCACTATTCCACATATTTCACAACCGACTACGAGACGATAACGTCGACTTACTGGAGTACAACAACGGACTACACAACTGTGACTCAGCACAGTAAGAATGGTGTTGCGACTGAAACAGAATGGGTAACCGTTACGCAAGCTGTCAAGCGCGGAGGGCCTGCTGTCCCGACGGAAACAAGAGCCACTCCGGCGATCCCTGTTCCGCCTTCGTCAGAACCCACGAGCCCACCTAGAGTTGAAATGGGGCTGAGGGCGCGTGATGTGGGGATAAGGCACATTCTCGAGGATATTGGTTTTCTAGAAAAGCGTGCGTCGACGGCTTACATCACTGTGTGGACAACTTCCACTGTCTATGATTATGAACCTGGATACACCTCCTATGATTATGATTATATTACGAGCTACAAAGGTTCTATGGTCACGCGGACCTCAGTTATATTTGATGGCGCCAGCACGACTGTCACTGTCACCTCAACAGACACAGTCCAATCTCACAAAGATGACCCTACTCCAACCGATCCGGGGCCGCAAAACACAACTCCCCATCAAACCACACCAGACCCGACACCAGATCCGACGCCGAATACACCAACAGAGCCTATTTCAGTGACGATAACTTTGACGCCCACTGGAACTAGCAGCATATCAGGAAGCATGGTCCTCACGACGTCATACTCCAGTGGCGCCGCTATCATCTATCCGGTGGCTGAGCCTACTATCACAAGCTCCAATTCGGCTTCTCCCACTGGGGCCAGTCATGGACACGGTGGCCTATCAACTAGTGCAAAGATTGGAATCGGTGTCGGCGCCGCAGTCGGCGGTGTCCTACTCCTCGTCCTCATTGCACTAGCTGTCTGGCGCATGCGGAAGAGCCGCGCCGACCACGTCGACACCTCCCAGAACACGGGAGACTGGGACATGGTCGATGCAAACAGACTGCCACCGCCTCCGCCAGTGCCGACAGTGCCCGTGGTGTATACTGCGTACCACGAGAAGGAGCCTACGAGTCCCGGGCCCTCCATCGCCACAACGGCCGTGGCGTCTTCGACTCCGCAATATCCCTCACAGGCGGAGCTTCATGGACAGTCGCACGTGCGGAGCTTTGGTAGTGCGCAGGAGCTGGATAGCTATACGCAGAGCTATAGGACGGTGTCACCGATGCAGGAGCTGTATGGCTCACCGACTTCGCCGTCAGAGCTGAGCCATGATCCCCTGACGCAGCCAACGCAGGTATATTACCCACCTGTGCCGTATCGTGCTGGTGCGCAAAGTCCTGGATGGCATTAATAGCAATTTTTGGTTGTGGTATTTGGCGTTATGAGACGGAGATCAAGTGGCATCCTAATAAGCTTGGTAGCTAGCTCTTACTCAGTCAGCTTGATCTTTCCCTCACGAATCAAAGGATCCCTGGACTAGGAATGGTACAGGTCGTTAAATAGATATTATTCCCACGATTTGTCAATTGAAAAGGCTGTTCCATACATCATCGTGAAACATGTGTACACGCGGGAATTTGTCAATTGGCACAACGAGACAGATTTTCGAGACCCGTTCGGTTTTGGAGATAGTTAGCTCGCAATATGAAAGTTGATGGACTTATTTCTCGAGGGAGCCCGGAGCCAACGTTGCGCGTGAAAGTGCGTACAATAATAGGAGTGAGCTGCCGAGTTTCATTGAGTTGTCCCTCGAGCTCACCCCGTGATTTTCTGCTTGAGTTGTCTCCAAATTATGCGTGCATGATGCTGGACGAAAGTGTATGCTGGGTGGTATCTTGCTCGAGCTTCTGTGAAGGATTTAGACATTTGGCTTGGACGCGTCCCTGCAGCCGGTCATTTCATGCCTGAGATTGACAGTTCCTGCAGCCACTCATGTTGGGGTTTGAACTTGGGGAAATAGGTGCGAGCCAGCCGTTGTCGAACCGCCGAATCGCCTCTTCAAATTCGCTGTGTGCACGCAAATGGCCATTATAGTGAGCGGCGCAGCGTCAGCGACTGGTACGAGACACCTAACCTGAAGAGCCTTGATAGCTAATTAGTCACCTGACGAGTGACGAGGGAACGCTCGGTAAATCCCAACTTGAGCCTGCAACTTCAAAGTCATTGAAAGTCGCCTCAGTCGACATAGATTTCCATTCTTTCCTTTCGAATAGCAATGGAGCAAGAGCGACCTACCAGCGAGAAGCCGGGGCATCCGCCCGCTCAAGCGAGCCTACACGAGGTGCGGACTGCCGAGAACAGCGCTGCCTTTTTGCTGCCCAAGTTACAGTCTATGAAAGAATCCAACCCCCATCTGAAGCTCTTAGACGTCGGCGCTGGCTCAGGCACCATCTCCGTGAGTTTCTCCAAGCTCATTCCCGATGGCCACGTTATCGGTGTCGACGTCAACGCCAACATCTTGCCTCGGGCACAAGCTGTCGCTGAAGAGGCCGGCGTCCAAAATATCGAGTTTCAGCAGGGCAGTATCTACAGTCTTCCATTTCCTGATGAGACATTCGACCTCACATTTTGTCATCAGGTGCTGATTCACATCGGCAATCCTTGGGACGCGCTGCGTGAAATGCTCCGAGTGACAAAGCGAGGCGGCATTGTTGCAGCCCGTGAGGGAGACTACGAAACGGAGTGCGTCTGGCCGGAATCTTCTGAGCTGTTAAAGTTCCATAAACTCATGGCAGGCCTTATGAGTGCCGGCGGCGGCACTCCAACTGCAGGTCGACAGCTCGTTTCCTGGGCACTCAAGGCTGGTGTCGAGCGAAGCCAGGTTACTCTCAGCTTTAGTACGACATCCTACCAAACGCCAAGCGAAAGGACAACGTTGTGTAAGTTTCAGTCTTCCGGTCTACATCTCATAATCGCGGGTATAGTTCTAATGGCTGTGCCTTCTCTAGCCGAGGGCTTGTGCGATCAGCTCAGAGGAGGTGCTCGGCTACGTGAGAAAGCTGTCAAATTCGGTCTAGGTACCGAGATTGATTTTGAGGAAATGATTCAGGCCTGGAAGGAGTGGGCAAAGAGTGATGATGCAAGTTTGGCAATGCTGCATGGAGAAATCCTTGTCCAAAAGTAACCTTAGATGTCAAATGACCTTGCTGCCGGCCCATGTATACTGAGAATGTAACGAAGACGCATGATAGCTCAACGCGAGCTCAAAAATGGAGGAAGGCGTGCTTTGCTCTCCACGGTAGAGGGTACGTAAAATTAGTCGGTGAAAGTCCGTGTTTCAGCATACAAAGAGCAGTGGTCTACTTAAAGAGTATCGCTATGGGATGTGGACCCAACTACCACGAACATGTTCCGAATGCTTGTTCCCAGTGGAGTCAAGAGGTTGGGAGCAGCTACTGTTGGGCCTCATGACAAAACACACACCGCGCTCAAGCATTAGACCAGTCTTCAAGCCACGCTTCTATGCCTGTTAATATATAGGAGACTTGTCTTTATCCATTGAGAAACACTCCGTATAAGATGTGGAGGGACTGCCTTATGGAGAGTACAACGAATATTGGACATTCTAAAATCTCCGAGTGCTTATTATGGGTGCGATATGATGTATTCCGAATGACAAGTCTGTTTAAGTACACAGATTACTACGTCTTGAACACGGATGCCTGCAATACGCATCTAAACTGGCATACGGCATTTTCGCTATTAGTGGGAGTAGAGACGGTCAAATTGAAGATAAACGAGAGTAAAAAGCAAAAAGCCGAAGTGTTGGGGCAAATAGCTTCTATTCAGGGGGTGGACTCTCAGGTCAAGCCAAGTGTTGCCTGATGCTTTTGGACCAAGTAACATAGTGGCTTCTGAAACGTCTGATTGGGCGATGTGGCGGCTTATGTGAGGGGACGGCTGAATTTCAGCTGAACGAGGATGATGCAAAGCCACCACTCGCACCTCATTTCTGAACCACTCTCGACATGCGTTTATAACAAGCCAGTCCTCACTTCTTTTGAGACCGGACTGCGCGCCCCATGGTCTGCGAATTCCTGCTATGGGCGCGACATTGTCAAGATTGTGGAATAGACTGTTTGGCCGTCGACTTCACCCCGCAACATTTGCGTATCTGACACCACTTCGCCCTTTCTCAATTCGACTGCTGACCCTCGTGCGGCCGAAGTGGTATACTCTTAACTTGGTGACGCCAAAACTCCTTATTAAAACATATTCCTTGGATGATCTGCCCAACTATGTGGCATTATCGTACACTTGGGGTCCCTCCCACGACACAGTCCCCGGCCGTGGATACGACGAGGGCGATAAAATTTCAATTCTCCTTAATGGGAAGCCATTTCCTATTTTCCCGAATTTAATGGACGCATTGTACGCGTTGCAAAGAAAGTGGGACTTTGATGACGATGTCCAGCACTTGTGGATAGACGCTATCTGCATTAACCAGCAAGATCTAACTGAGAGAGCAGCTCAAGTTGAAATTATGAACCAAATATACAAAAGTGCTTCTTCTACCGCTGTATGGCTGGGGAAAGGAGACTCTCAAACAAGAGCAGCGTTGCGGCTATATGAGTCCATCTTGAGGATTCCCCCAGAGGACTTCGCGCCTTACTATCAACAGTACCCGAATATAACTCCCCCACCAGATGCGTTCTGGCATATGCGAGGTTTGCCCAGCCCGCATAATGAAGGGTTATGGGCACCGTTGGTTCGGCTTTTTGAGAACCGGTGGTTCAGCAGAACTTGGGTCATCCAGGAAGTCACGCTTTCAAAGAAGATCATCATGCTTTGGGGACGCAGTGGCATGACGTGGGATAGCCTTGGACATGTGGCATTGGCGGGCCGGGCAGCAAGGGTCGGTCAAACCCGAGGGCTACCAAACTTGACCCAATATCTCTCTGGCAATACTGAACACCCGAAAAGCGAGGATTGGGTTGTGCATGATCCACTGGCGAACATATTCCAGCTTTGGGGCAACAGACACAGATATCTTCAACGAAGCCAAAACCAATTGGATGAGACTTTACTTAACGAAATGCGGTCTCTTTGTGGTTGTTCTGATCCAACGGAATCATCATGGCTGATGTACTTCTCTTTGATCAATCGGTGGGCGGGAGCAACAGACCCTCGGGATAAGGTATTTGGCCACCTGGGTATACTAAGAGATATCACCGGATGCACCAGCAAGTCGGCAACAATTCACGCTTCATATTCGGCTACGACAACGAATTTAGAGATCTATAAGAAGATGATGCAAAAACTTATACACGATACGGACAGCTTGACTGTACTCATGGCTGTCAATGATTCGCCTCTATCAAGAGACGAGGCGTTACCTTCTTGGGTACCAGATCTCTCTAAACAGCAAGGCCTTGACCTCATGTGGTCTATCAGGCCGCAGTTCGGTGCTAATGGTAGCCGAAATCAGATGGCTAATCTCTCCGGGACACGAAAAGTGACAGTTCATGGACAACGCCTTCGCGTGAACGGTACGGTCATTGGAACAATATCGCTGCTCAGCTGTTCCTTGATCGACTTAACGGGCCCGAACTGGCATAAATGGACTGGCCATATACTAAAAACAGATCAGTTATACGGGTTGACAGGAGAGCCGCGTGTGGAAGCCTTCTGGAGAACAATGCTGATGAATTCGGTTGCGAGGAGGTCGCCTGCCAAGTCAGCAACTGGCGAGCTCTTTCGAGCGTTTATTCTACAATGTTTAGCAAGATACTTTCCCGGACCTGAACCCAGCGGCAGCAGTAAAGCTGACGAAGAGTACCGGAATGCAATTGACAACATCAACAATTTGTCAAGGTCCGACTTTTCTTCACATATGCCGTCTTTTCTGGGATTAACCAACCTTATCGCACAAATTGCTGGACTTGCTGAAGAAGAAGTCCAATTTTTATCAAATGATAGGATTATTGAAGCTCTTACAAGCTGTGTAGAGAAAATGTCGACATTTGTAAGTGGACTAGATAGCAGCATGATAAATCGGAGGTTCGTGCTGTCGGATCTGGGCCACTATATCAACGCACCGATGTGGACTAAAGTCGGTGATATAATCATCGTCCTGAACTCCTGTCCATGCCCTCTCGTGCTCAGGAGAAATCATTCGGACCCGTCTTGCTATACAATTGTTGGATCAGCGTATGTTCATGGGATTATGTACGGAGAAGCAATAAGCGACGAGACGCAGTGGGAGGAAGTATGTATTAGCTGAGAGCTGAGATAGCATTCTTGAAGCTAGTATCTCGCATCTAAATAACTAATTTCTCAGTCAATTTGCGCTGAGAAGTTAACAGAATGTCTATGGGCGACAATTTGTGAGTACGTTAGATATATATCCCGACTCCATGAATAGAGCTCTTCATGACGCAACATTCATCCTATAAATGGAGAGTTTTTCATGCAAACATGATCCGAATCGACTCCCCCAGCTGCTTACAACTTCTCCTTCAAATCAATGAACAGGCCCTCAGCGGACGCGCGAACAACCCCACGTTCGTCCTCAATGCGCCCTTCGATGAGATGTTTGCGGCCCTCCGCCTTCTGATAACGAGCTGTTACCAGTATTGTCGAAGGAGTCTTTACATGTTTGATAAACTTGGTATTGAACCAAGCGGTGACCTGAGGAGGACCGTGATACACACCACGCATCATGTTGACAAGCGGTAACAGCCCCATCACCTCGTCTAGGATGGCCATTACCACGCCGCCATGGCATACTTCGGGAAAAGTGTTGACAAGCGAGCCCAGAGTAATAAAGGAAGCGAGCTCAGTAATGGGGTTGTCACTATTTTCAGGCTCGGTGTAGAATGTGATGAAATTTGAGATGGTGTCTTTTGTATTGAGAGTTTGCCCGAAGTACACGTTCGAGTTCACTGAAGGCGGAAGGCGACAAAACGTCTCGGCGACGGCGACGCCCGGCTGATTCAGATGCGCTGCGCACCAGGGAATAGATTTGAAGTGCTCAACTTCGGGGCTGACCTCATCATCGGATGAAGACATACTTGCAGACCGTGAAAGATGGAGTCTCGTTTGTCTCGAATGAGCTCCGATTAGAATGGATGATTGAAAGGTTCTGTGAAATGGGCGATGATTCGACGCAGCGAATGGTTCATTTACATGGTTACATAATCATGTTAGGATCATTAGGGTGCTGACAGAATTGCGGCGCGCACGCCGCTTAACCCTGCCAACCTACTGTGATTCTACTGTCTCGACTGTGTTCCTATACTGAGTAACTGGAGCTTAGATCCCCTGTCTTTTGCCGTCTCAAGCCCCGATAAAATTTCCGCTCTTGGAACACATTGATATCGTCTTCGAACAATGTCCGGCCCTCCTTTCGTGCCTTGAGGACCAGTCTCCGCACTCTCTTTACGTCATACTCGGTGTTCCGCGTAAGATACCATGTCCAGATATTAGCAACCCATGCAGCGATGATGCATGCAGCCGCAATGGCGAAACTATTCTTGTACCCATTGTGTGCCCATTTCGACTGGAAGAGTTGCGGGCCTACCACGCCGCCTAGTTGAGCAATGCCAGATTGCACGCCATATGTTAGCGCCGTACCGGTTGTGCCGACCAGCGTCGCGGACCGCCACGCCCAAAAGGGGATGAAGTAGGACTGATAGAAAAGCTGGCCGAGAATGCAACTGATGTAGATCCCTACATGATTGTGAATGGTGAAGAAAAGGACAAAACAGACGACCATTCCCGACATTATAATCCTGAAAGTCAATTGATGTTAGTGAAAGTTTGAACCTTTGGCAAAAGAATTACTGACATGATATAAGCTGGGCGAACAATAAAAGCCCGAGAAATAAACCACGCTGAGAAGATGAGTCCCAGTATAGCTGCAACTGCAGGCGGGATGTTCAGAAGCTGGTTCTTGGGCAGCCCAACGAAGCCCAGATTCGTCACAATAGTCGGGAGGTACCACGTCAGTGCATAACCACCCAGATTGACGAGTGTCTGAGAGAGCGTAAAAGACCAAATTAATGGCGACTTCAGCGTGACCACGATCTCCTTCTTAGAGAAGGCCGGGTCACTTGTTAAAGGGGCATTTTCGGGCAGCCTCGCCTCAATAAATTCTTGTTCGCGTTCTGTGAGCCAGCTTTTACTGCGTGGCGATTTTGGATAGTCAGGAAGAAACCAATAGACTGCCACGGAGAACACAATTGTTACGAGGCCTTCGATAAGATATACCCAGCGCCAGGCACTTAGGCCCCGAATACCGTTCATGTAACTGATTCCGTAGCACAAAAGCGAGCCAACAATGCCAGAAAGGCAAGAGATGCCGAAGAACCAGGTGACTGGTCTTCCTACCTCGTCTGTCCGATACCAGCTTGACAATTGCGCCATAACACCTGGAAACATGCCTGCTTCGAACATGCTATTGACTAACGTATCAGTACCAATTCTCCATGAGTGATGGACTCACTTATCGGATTGCGGAATGGTTCTTACCCGAGCAAAAAGCGTACAGCAAATAACTGATGGTGGTTTTGCACAGCAGCATGGCAGGCAGTGATGATCCCCCAGGTGAAGAATATGCGAGACTGCCAGACGTGGGGAGTCATGCGCTTGAGTAGAAGGTTACTGGGTGCTTCGAAGATGATATATGCGATCTGCAGTGATTTTAATAACGTCGCAGTAGCTTAGGCATCGTATTGCCCGATATCATACATACGCCATATATTGACCCAACCCAATTATAGAGATCGGCAGTCATTCCCAGTTCCGTGATGATGTTGCGTGGTTCCCCCACTTGAAGCACTTTGACGTTTGCCGCATTATTGGTATCGATCTAATTGATAATGTTAATTATCGTGGCTGTTCTTCGCAAATGGGAATTGATTCTGACGAACCTGCTTGATCATGTACATCAGACCAATGAGCACCGAAAAGCGCAACTCGACCTTGCGCATGATGGACTTTTCCTCTTCCGCGGTAAATGTAGATAGGAAGGCAGCTCTTGCTTCGGGATCATCTCGGAGGAGGACCGTTGCGGCGCGTGAGACCTTGACTTCGGCTTGCTTCCGCGTGGCCTCTGCCGCCTCGGGGTCTACAACGACCGCGCGTGGTTCTATTGGCTCGGCCATGATTTGCTTTTTGAGTTTCAAAATGGTTGCAACCAAGTGTGGGCTCTCGTACAATAAATGTGACAGACACATTGTTGAAAATACGCACTGCTACTTTTATATGATACTAAAAAATTGGCGAATTGCGACGATACAGTATGATGTGCTACCGCCGAGGGATGGCGACCACAGTTGACCCTGGCTCGGCGCCCACCTCTCCCCATAATAAAGTGAGCGACTTCCGGTAATTGAACAAGATAGGGCATTTTCTCATTCAATAAGCGCGATATCCCACAATTTCGGGCGTGGGGGGATGACGAAATACTAGATCAAGTTTCCGTTATTGAAATCTCGTCGCCAGCATAGTTATACAATACCCCATTGCAAAATATCATTCCTCGATGCCGCCATTGGTCTCCGCTTTGCCGGCTCCGGCCCGGAGCGAGGAACTATCTTCAAACTTCATGTCAATTCCGATAGTTGTTCAGGCGAACATAAGATACGATAACGTAGTAACTATTATTTTGCGAAGAACAGTTCGACCCTCAGAGACCAGGGTCTAGGAATTTGCGTGAGCGTCACACAAATAGAAAATTCGTCTCAACTGTTCATTAGTCAAGATGTCACATGTAGACGCAACAAAGAATGCAGGTAGCACGGATGGCGATAAGCCAAAGAAGAAGATCTTGCTGAACGGTTTTGATATGTTCACTGTCGGACACCTTTCCTTTGGCCAATGGCGTAATCCAAAGGATCGAGCGAAGGACAAGCGACGCGATCTCTCGTACTGGACTGACTTGGCGAAATTACTTGATAAGGGTGGCTTTACGTCTTTGTTTTTGGCCGACACATTCGGTCCATATGACGTGTGAGTTTGTTGTCTTGAATATGACCGTTTCCAGTGTCGAGTTGGTGTGACCTAACGCAAGCACCAGATATAAGGGCAGTGCAGAACCATCAATTCGGACTGGCAGTCAGTGGCCGATGGCGGATCCCGTTATAGTGAGTCTTTTGTGATGTCATCATATTCACGTTATTTTGTTGACAAGCTCAACTCTGTAGCCTGTCTCTGCTATGGCCGCAGTGACTAAGAATCTCGGCTTCGCGATTACTACTTCGACTTCATATGAGCAACCATATGTTGTCGCCAAACGATTTGCGACTCTGGATCATCTAACTAATGGCCGATTCGGGTGGAACATCGTCACTAGCTGGAAGGAGTCCGCCTCGAAAGCGGTGAGTGTCAACCATAATATTCTTTGTGATATAAGTCTGATTTCCTCATAAGGTTGGCCTTCCATTAGTGGAACATGACAAACGGTACGAGAATGCCGATGAGTATTTGCAAGTGTTATACAAGTGAGCCCTCTCGGAATGCCACTAGCCGGATTACTACTAACTGATTTCTCCAGGTTATGGGAGGGATCATGGTCAGATTTGGCCTTAAAGGAAGACCGAGAGAATGGAGTCTATGCAGACTTTGACCAGATTCGTACTATCCATCATCATGGCAAATTCAACGTGGACGCACGCTTTATTGTCGATCCGTCACCACAAAGAACGCCAGTATTGTTTCAAGCGGGCACATCACCGTGAGTACTGAACTCTCAATATTATCACGTCTGTTGAATCTGGCGTGGGAGCTGATAAAATCATGTGGATAGTGCTGGTATCAAGTTTGGCGCAACTCACGCTGAAGGCATCTTCGTTTCCGGTCTCTCACCGCATGTAGTCGCTCCTCGGGTCAGGGCAATTCGTGAGGCCGCTGCAGCAGCAGGTCGTGACCCAGCCTCGGTTAAGATCTTTGCGATGATTACACCAATCATTGGCAAGGACGAAGAAGATGCCAAGCGCAAGTACGAGGAGGCTCTGAAATATGTCCTGATTGAAGGCGGACTGGCGCAATTCTCAGCTGGCTCTGGCATTGACGTCTCCAAATTCGACCTGGATCACGAGTTGACTGAGAAAGACATTTCGCAGCTTCAGCGAGTGCAGTCATCAATATACAATCTCCAATATCGTGGCGAAGATGTTCCAAAGCTGACACCGCGGAATTTAGGTACAGTGGCTGCCATCGGAGGAACAGGAGCAATGCCCGTTGGTACAGCTAGTCAGGTAGCCGATGCGTTTGAGCAGTGGATCGACATCGCGGACGTTGATGGATTCAATCTAGGCTATGTGATTACACCCGGGAGCTTTGAGGATGCTGTAGAGTTGCTGGTGCCCGAGCTAAGACGTAGGGGGTTGCTGGCAGAGGCAATTCCAGAAGATGCACCTCAACAGACATTACGCGAGCAGATCTATGGAGTTGGACAAAAGGGATTGCGGAAGGACCATCCCGGTTATAAGTTCAAGTATGGGACGTATGAAGCCAATCAGGCCGACTAGGGGACAAAAACGGAACATTTAGGCTGCCTATAACTTCCACAAACGGCTGATTGTGGCGAAACTCAAGTTGACGAGTAGTCTTTTGCGCATATATACTGATGATGCATTAATCTACGCTCTGCTCTGGCCATGTTGGTAGAATTTATTGCGACTTGACTTATCTACTGATCAAACGCCGGCCAGTGCCGTAGACGTATGTATCTGGCGTGATCGTTGATCAACTTAATGTGGCCGATTAATGTGCCATCCCTTTAGCAATGTTGTCTTCAACCAAAGCCCAGTATGCGGATTGACTTCTTTTTCGAAGCTTTTTACCGTATAAAATCGCAAAGATGAATACTGCACTAGCAGCCATTCCGATAAAAGAGGCGGAAATGAAACAGTTCTGTAGTCCGAGGTCGTCGAGCCACGGTGTAATCCCATAACCTTAGCATAAGTGTTAGACGAATGAGGCACAGATGCTAGGACGAGGGAATGTAATGTGGCATACCTATAGCAAAACTCATAGTGTTTCTGATGATGATGACAGTTGTCATACCATCCGCACTCATCTCTTTGTAGCTATCAATGAGATAGTTAACACTGAGGGTGATTCCACAAGTATTCGCGAATGACAGCATCCCCATCGCCCAGACAAGGCCGAACCAATGAACTCCCTGGGACGCGCCGACACCCCAAATGATCAGGGAGACTGGAATGATTACTGTAGTGACGGCGAATGGCCAAAGACGTTGTTCTGGCTCCATTATTCCGTTGTTGCGTCGAGCTAAGCGGATCGTAAGCCAGTCGCTGAAGCGGCCAGTAAATGCTGCACTGTGATGCAGAAACAAGGGTCAGTGACAAGTACTTTTGAATAGATGAATTAAGATTTGGCAACTCACCCAAGCACTGTTCCTATCAGTGGTGACACGTAACTAAGTCCAACCATGGCCGCACTGAAATTGTATGGTGCGCCACCGAGAATCACTGAAGCGGTAGCATTCAGAACAGTGAACCAAATTAGGTAGGATCCATATGAGAATCTAGTAATCGGTCAGATATGATCTATCCGATTTGTGTCAGCTTTGATTTCAAACATACCCTGCATAAAACACGACTGGCCAGGCGAGGAACGCCAACTGTTGTTTCATTCTGTGAAAGAACCTATTTGGTCGGGGAGAGTCACGAAGTGACAACTTTTGCAGGAATGTCTTCTGTGAGTAGGTCGATCCTGTTGCAAAATCTGTGGTGTTGGCTGGCGGCTGTACTGTTCCCGCGGTCTTCTCGTCATCAACAAGCTTGGCTTCTTGTGTTCCTGTGGGAGCCGCATTTTCAACTACACCGACAGTAGTACGGTCGTAGTTTGTCTCTTCCATGAAAAAGAATAAGAAAAAGAAAGCGATGGCGAGAAAAATGGAGAACCAATAGAATACCCATTTATAGCCCTGCCCATCGTTGATGAATCCGCACATTATAGGGGCGAGATAACTGCTGCTTCCTAAGCATAGAGCATACAGTCCCATATATGTGCCTCTCTGATGAGTGAAGTACTACGGTACGCGCAACATGTAAGCTTGTGTCTTCGCAACAGGCAATTTATATTTGGAGTACGCACCACATCCGTCACCGATATTTCCGGTAGTGCTTCGATTGGTGCCGTGAAGAACCCTCCGAGAATATTCTTCGCAATCCACTGGCCATTGGTGGAAGCGTAAGGACTCCACATAATTAGAGCCTGATGGGTCAGTCAAAACTGCCAATTAAAGCTCTGTGTAGAGTTCTTACTATATTGCCCAGAACGGAGATCAGGTATGTCAACCGTTTTCCGTATTGTAGTGCGAACGGTTGCCAAAAGAGTAAACCCCATCCACAAAGGAGAAAAAAGTATCCGGTTCCAGCATTCAGGTCGCTCACTAGTCACAGTTAGATTACTGTATGCTCCAAGCTTCGAATAGCTCTTACCGCTCAAGTTCGTAGCTTCTGATATGGGTACAAGCACAGAATACACGACAGAGTTGATCATTCCCACGAAAAGAACATATCTGCGGCAGCTGTTAGCAAGATTTCGATTCAATGGGGTAAATGGGAATTCCAACACTGCCAAACACACTGTGGAAAGGGCCTTCCGCCGAGGAGCCCAGTTCAACGGATCATCAGGGTCATTGGAAGGGGTTGGAATCAAAACAATATCTTCCTGTCCTCGTGCATGCTTGGCCGCTATGTTATGGTTGAGGTCAACTAAATGAACAGTCCCGGGAATGGCGCTCTTGTCAATCATCCTGTTGGTAACACGCGATGCGATTGCCTTCATGAATATGAACCGAATTACCAACATGTTGTAGCAAGAGGTAGGTATGTAACTTTATACATAAGTGCCATGAGTCTGGTCAGAGCCCTGTTTGGTTCATCTCAGCCAATGGGCAATCATTGCGATCTGAGGTATCTGGAGAAGTGCGCAAAATGTGTCCATTGGTCAGATTATATGTGCCGCAATTCTCCAGGCTATTTTAGCGTGCAGGATCTCAACAGACGATCTAGTTCGGGTCTATCACTATGATAACGGAAATTACGTTACTATTCCCGACCATCTCATTTTTTGGCAGGTTAGTGATATTAGTTCTATCTAGCAGTTGATCAAGCCTAGAATGCTGCCTCGACCGAGAAGTAAGTCCAGTCCATCTTCTTGGAAATTCCACAAATCCAAATTTGTAATACTCCGAGCGGTCTCAGATCCGGGTAGAGTACTTGCCCAGATAGTCTCCAAGACCCTTGTAGTCTTCAAGAACGTTCCAGAATTCGTAGTTTTAGAGATATCTATCAAGGTGTGCCGGATGATCTCGGCTTGATCAAGGTGTAGCACGGCACTTCCAACAATAAGTAGAGGCCAAAAATGGAATCGCTCAAGTACATGAGGCTGAATTAGGCGAATGGCTTCAATGACATAGCTTTGGATAGTGTGGCTTGATGCACTTGTCTCGGGATGAAGGAACTTGAAGAGCAGAATCTTCAAGGCGATGATAAAGAGATTTGTGCGTTGGTTATAACGGAGAGTGTGTAATGATGTCTCGGTGCCGGTTTCGTTCGCTTTATTCAATGAATCTTCAGATTCCCAGATGCCAATTTCCTTCGTCAAAGTAACCGCGGTGTCGTAGTCAGACGAATTCAGAGGTAATTGGTGACTCAGTTGGGTCAAATCTGACAGAAATCGATAGAGCTGCCATGGCACACCGAGGACTGGGGTATTTTCGGATTCGGATGCTTTCGGAAACGGCCGGATGGCAAAATAGGGCTCGAGAAACCCCCATAGCTCGTCGGTGGGCATGGATATTGGGTTGCCATTAAATATGGACCAGCTGACCGTATGATACACGAATGCCTCAGCAGCAATTCGAGCAAAAACTTTGTCGCTCGTGGATCGAGTGGCCGCGTTCGAGTCCCGCCAAGTCGATCCTCTCAACTTCAATATCTGAGCAGCGCCTTCAATGTGAAGAAGAACTGGATTCGAGCTTGTAACATCCCATGTCTACGGAGATATCAAGTTAGTTGTGTAGAGGTGACGGCGGAAGGGTGAAAACATTCGGCATGTGCATCGATGCTAAGTTCACTGACCTCAAACAGATTCAAATGCAGGATGTTCAAGAGTAACCAGTCCTCAGTACCTTGAACATTGCCTTGTGCAATCTTCTCACGCACGGCTGTTACTGCTTGGGAGTAATACTTCATAGCTAGGCCTCGATATGTGGGTAAGCGCTTTGATAAGTCTAGCGAAGCACATGCTAGGAGAGGATCCACCATCAGCTGTAGCCGAGGAAGAATTGAAGACATAAGAAAATATCTCTGAAAGTCTGGATGTGCATTATTGCGTAATAGTATAGAGCAGAGTTTTGATGCATAGTGGTTCAAGAGCTCTTGATCAAGTCCTGGAGAGACAGGAGGGAGCTGTGAAGAACGGAGAAGAGCGAGAGTTGGTGAGAGAGGATCGACCGCATCTTGCCGGGTTAAATGGATGGTGATAGAGGCAGGTCGATGAACTGCATTTGCAACGGATCGAGTAGTCACATCAGTGTGTGAAGTTTTTCGATGTCCAGCTTCAGTGTTGCTACAGGGCCAAGAGCACTTGAGCCTCCTCTTGGCGCATGCGGCACATCTCGGATGACGCTCATCACACTTCTTCCGGCGAGATCGACCTAGTCGATGACTCATCAATGGATGCTTCGCTAATTGGGCTGTGCGAGAATGAGAGAACTCACAATTAATGCAGCCTGTCTTAGTCCTCAGAGTCGGAGGTGGACGGCGTTCCTTACGACGCGGCTCCATATTGCCGGTTTGTGACATGAAGTCAAAAGCGGAGTTCAATTCTAGGGGGTCCGAACCTGCACGTCCCCAAAAGCCGCACTAGCTCTACCGAGAGACGAGCGAAATGGGAAGGCAATAGGCCAGACTTGGCATGGCGTGTGCGTCGATTCGCGGCATGCAACTGGGCAGGCCGTGAGGTATTTTGGACGTAGGAAGCGCGCCCACATATCAATGAAATCGTCGGGGGAGCTTGAGTCTTGCCACAGCCAATCAACACACTTTCCGCCGCCCAGCAGACTGCGGGGTGGATAAGATAGCCGTTCACGACCAAACCGCCTAGCCTTATCTTGCTCCTAAATGTCATATTAATCGTGTTATCAGAGGACGAGGCGGGTCTCGCTCCCCCTGTTGCTCAAGCTCGTATCCACACTCTTGATTCTCTAGCACAGCGCTAGGCTTCTTTCTCCGGTGGAAGTCGACTTGACGTATAAAAGGCAGTCTGCTCAGAGAAACATGTGTTTCATAGGATGTAGATCTTTGAAACAGGTCTATCATTCTTTCGTAACTCTCTGAGGAAAAGTCTCTCTCCTTCTCGACTACGTAATCTGCAATCACACTTTAGAGGGAACGCTCACGATGGCTAAAGACTGGAAGAGTATTGGCCGGGCAAAACGCGACTCTTGTTTTGAGAAGATCCCCAAAGATTGGCGCCTCTCAGCCTCTATCGTTTCTGGCCTTGATGAAAATTCGACTCAGAATGTCACATCGTTACCTCGTGAATGCGGCATTCTGTCAGCTGAGGAAATAGAGATCACCGAGAGCTACGATGCCACCGCTTTGCTGGAAAAGCTCTCCACCTCCCAACTTTCTTCACTTGCAGTTGCTACAGCGTTCTGCAAGAGAGCCGCAATTGCACAACAATTGGTACGCTAACACATGTCCAAATAAAATTGCATTGGTTAACAATCCTGTTAGACACACTGTTTGACGGAGATCTTCTTTGACGAGGCACTAGCGCGTGCTAAGTTTTTAGATGATCATCTTGCCACGCACAAGACACCTGTTGGACCTTTGCATGGCCTCCCCATCAGTGTCAAGGTATGACAGTGGAGTCGTAGTTCTCGGTAGTGAACTGACGTGTTAGGACTCTTTCCACTATATCGGTCAACAAACAACTCTTGGATATGTTTCATTTGTTGATCTGCCCGTGGCAACTACGAACAGCCCGTTAATCAAGCTTCTCCTGGATCTTGGTGCTATCCTTTATGTAAAAACCAATATTCCACAAACTCTCATGGTAATATCTTGTCCGTCATCTAAAAGCTGCGCTTTTTGTTCACAATGATATTAGACAGCAGATTCCGAGAATCATGTTTTTGGCAGAACATTAAACCCTTACAAGCTATCTCTAACTGCTGGTGGCTCCAGTGGTGGTGAGGGAGCACTTGTGGGCATGCGTGGTGCCCTTATTGGTGTCGGAACAGACATCGGTGGCTCTATCCGGGTTCCAGCTCTTTGTTGCGGTACATTTGGTCTCAGGCCGTCAGCGAACCGAATTCCATATGGTGGCCAGTCTATTCCTGGGCGAGTCGGTTCTCCTGGTGTTCTTGCCTCTGCTGGACCTCTGACCACCTCGTTCAGAGACATGCAGCTCTTCATGCAGACCATTATTTCAAACTCACCCTGGAATTATGACCACAGTGCCTCACACATCCCATGGAAGAGAGTACCGGAGAAGAAGGTCTTGACAATTGGCATTCTGCCTGCCGACCCGTCGTTCCCTCTGCATCCTCCAGTCACGAGAGCCGTAAACTCGGCAATAGAGAAGCTGAAACAGGCTGGACATGATCTAATAGACATTGGAACAGTGCCTAGCATCGCGACCGCTAATGCTCAAATCGTCGAGTTGTATTCTCTGGACCCTGCCATGACACCGTTCAAGAATATCGAGGCAAGTGGAGAGCCCAAGATAAGGTCTGTCGCAGAATCTCCATTTGTATCGAAACGCAATGGTCAATTGACGATGAGCGACCTATACGATCTCAATGCAACAAAGACACAGTGTCTAAGGGAATGGCACAAAATATGGATAGATAACAAGATCGATGTTATCATTGGTCCAGTTTCGGAAACGACTGCCATGCCCCATGACACGTTTGGGAATACGCCCTACACTACGCTTTGGAACTACCTTGACGTAATTGAGCACCCTTTCAATATCTCGCCACGGTTGACTAACCTAGCATAGTACCCTGCGGTTGTGATTCCGTACCTCAGAGCAGATAAGTCTATTGATATCGGCGCCGGATTTAGCTCATATAAGCCTTGTAAGCCTCCTTTTGCATCGGATTTGGTAGCGTGTGTCTAAACCTCTGATGCAGATAATGCCGAGGCAACAGATGGTGCTCCAATTGCTGTCCAGGTTGCTGCGCGTACCCTGTTTGATGAAGAGCTTCTGGAAGCTGCTGGTATCATTTCCAAGGTCTTGTCTGAGTAGCGAATGTAGAAGTCAGCCAAAGAGATTCAAGCCACCCCTGAGAATCTTGGCAAACTTTGGATACTAGGAGGTTGAAGTACCTCTATTGTTAACACATTTCAATGGAAGCATAGAAAGTCCATAGTCTTGCTGCGAGAGGCTTCGATTTCACAATCTATGTGAAGAGCGTATAATTGCTACGGAAGCTTATAGGTGCGCTATAGGACAGAGAGCTACCGGGCAGTTCAATGGCTTCAACAACCACGGGGATTGCGGTCAGTTTGTCTGAACCATTTCGGCTCATTGCAATGTGATCCTGCTCGATAATCATAAACATTCATATTTCGGCAAATACTTTAGACTCGAACTTTTCATCTCCTAAATCCAGCCCACAATGCAGCACGCAGGTAGACTTGTTGCCTTAAATTCCACCTCATTCTTTGCGGCCCCAAACACACTTGATCCGGAAATAGGGGTGGTGCTTACCGCTGTTGAACTCACTTTGCAGTTGAGCAACTTACACTTGGCTTTCCTCCGCAGACCAACCGAGCACATTGGCCATGAACAGAACGACTCCCTCAGTATCTGACATCACAGTCAAGTGACCAAAAGTGCCGATCTCTTTGAGCTTCTTATCTTTTGGCCAACGGCCCAGAGGAACCTAGAAGAATAAGGGTCAGTACGAGTCCTCCGATAGTCAAAGAAAAAAAACTCTTGACCTTGAAGTCCCGCTCTTGAATGTCCACGAATCCTGCCTCCTCCATCGCCTTTCTCTGGGTACCGTCCTCGAGGACCGTAAAGCTACGGCCAATCTTTTTGCCACCCTCGACGAAGAACGTGCCCCACTTCGCCATGTTCTCGCCCAATGTGTCATCGTCTGTCTCAAGTACTGGTGTTCCGTCATAGCTCTCGAGCCAGGCGCCAGGCTTGAGGACATTGTGAGCCTGCTTAAAAAGCGCAGGCCAGTCCTCGATACTGCCTACGAGATAGCGAATATGTACATAGTCAAAGGAATTAGAAGGGAAGTCTAATCCTGAGTGCAGTCTTCAATCTCGCTGTATTGGAAAGATCAAACAATATCAGCAAACCCCTTAAGGCTCTGGCGAACAAAGAGTAGTATCCTACAATTTGAGATTTGGTGGTGCCCAGCTAGGCTGATTGGAGAGATGTCGGTCCCAATCACTTCACAATCTGGATACTCTTCGGCGAAGTCGCTGTTCCGGCCATCTTTGTAAGAATATAGCTATACCAATCGAAATGCTAAAGCTACTTACATGGCACAGAGACCTATTAATATTTCAGAACGATAATACCGAAGTCATTGGAACGCCATTTTTTGGTTCTTCCTTACCAGTGCCAGTGCCAATATCCAAAACTTTCTAAGGTGCGAACAAGGTCAGTTTGTATTCTCAATTCTGAGAAAGTTCTTGCTGAACAGTTTTGAGAACGAACTTGAAGTTTGTCAGCTTTCAAAGGTGCCTGAGTCTCCCATATCACCATCTCAACGATGTGATAAGGGCCTTACTACGGCTACGGTAGTAGTGTAGTAGTTGCCTGGGTTTTATGCATTTGAGGCTAGATCTACCTCACAATCCTGTAAAATCGTAGTAAGTATATCTTGTACAAAACGGTTTCGGAGGGCACTCTGTAAAGAGAATGATGCTTTCACGCCCGTTTCATAGCGTAAAACTAACAGAGCAAAGTTAGTCTTTCGACTTCAACTCACTAGCGCGCTTTCATGATGACGAATACATAGAAAACACACGCAAGTGGCTTTTGACATATTTAGGATAGTAAGTTCATAGTGTTTTTCGTCTTAGTTTTTTTGTTATTCGAATCTCCGCGTTTTTCCCCAGGGAAGGTTGGCATTGAGAAGATTGGCACCTTAGGTCAGTGTATGGCCACTGAAGCTGAGGTACTTAAACCGAGGTGGGATTCAACGTAGCGGTTTCACTGAGTTGGTCAAAATTCCCGCCCATGCGTTTCCCTGAGTAAGATTACTGCATCGTAGGCGCTAAGTGAGGGTCATCACCAATAATCAGAACCCCCAGTTTGTTAGAATCTGGACATGGTTGATACGCGGGATGATTCCGTGCCGCCGCTCGATCCGGGATAGGCTTGGCTAGCCAATGAAAGTCGTCCATTGGCAAGTGAACTGCAAGCTTCAGTAGGCCGAAGCAGATCTAGCATCACATAAGTGGCCGCTTCAGGGAGCCCGAAGGTGGGGCAACCCCTGCAAAGCAACATTGTTGGTCTCCTACCTTGAAACACTTCACCAAACCTGGAACCAACAGCCACACATCCTGCCTGGAAGAGTTAGTGCAGTGTAGCATCTTTGACCAAGACCCTGGCGTGATGAGATACTTAATTGCCCGATGGGCCGTGCCGTTTACCTGAAGTCGAGGCTACTTGCAAGCAATATCATTCGACTTATAAGCCTAACTCGAATCCGAATTGTCCGCATTTAGTAGCATCAGGGAACTGTAGAAGCTGGCTTACTTGCAACTCTCTGAGCTTAAATCATGTCGACTCCAACTCGCAATATCTTTTCAACCAACGACTCACACAAGTCGTCAGAAATCAAACACGAATTTTCTCTACCACTCCGAACCAATGAATTAGCTTTCGGCGTGGGCAAGGCCACCCCTGACTCGTCTCCAAGGACAAAGGACACCCATCGACAGACCCCTGTCCTAGCTGGCTCTGATTCTCGTGATGCCTTTCAATTTGGAGCATCACAGGGCGGCTCAGAACACACCCCCGACCCTTCACCGTCGCGAGGCCGTGGCTTAGACCGCTCTCCCATGAGCTTTAGTTTTAACGCTAATGAATTCGGAAACAATGCAACAAGTGGAAGTACTACGTCTATTGTGCTCAATAAGCCGTTGACCAGTAAAGAAAGCACAGTTGATATCCACGGTGCCGATGCATCTAGATCAACAACAGTCTTCAATCCCTGGGCTCTCTCCTCGTCGTATGTCTTTGGCTCGGAAGAGAAAGCAGGCCCACGCTTCACCTTCAAGAATCTACATAATGTCACCCCTCTTCCCTCTCGAGAGCCATCTCCTGGTCCTTCATCTCCCAATAGTGGAGGAACAACGATTTTCTCACTACCGTTACTCACACCAAGCAACTCACCGAGCTCTGTAGTGGGGGATAGAAAATCCCCCCAAATGTCAAACATGCTACGCGGACCTCAATTACCTGCAGCTCCATCTACTCTATCGGACACCACTCTCCTAGGGCCTACCTTGTCTATTGACAATCTTGCTCACCGTGCCCGGTCCGCGTCTGGGGTTTCTACCAGCAGCGATGTGCTACCTGACACTGCTCCACCTTACGATCTTCGTAATGAGGAGACCCCTCAGCATCGTTTCTTCTCAGCTGAGTTTCAATCCGCTTTACAGAAAGGCCTTAAGATTGCAAGAGACACAGCAAGGGTTGTTGAAAAGTTAGAAGCCGTTGTGACTGACAATGCCCTGACTAAATTTCACGAAACCGCTAATCGTCTTCGTGTTTTTCATGGGTCTGACACCAGAACCATTGCTGTCTTGGGAGACTCAGGAGAAGGTAAGCGCAACGAACACATTGAACATGAGCCGGCCACTAAACCAACACTTGTTAGGGAAGAGCAGTCTCATTAATTCCTTGCTGCATTTTCCGGGTGTGGCCAAAACTGTAAGTGCCCTGTCGTAAAGGACAATAGATTGTGAAACTGAGTACATCTTTTCGCTGTAGGGAGATATTGGGTCTGCCTGCACTTCCGTAGTGACCGAATACCGGCAGAAAACAAGCGAGCATACGGCTCCCATTACAATTGAGGTCGAGTATCTTTCGATCACAGAAATTGAAACAGTTCTGAAAGAGCTACTGTGGAGCTATCGACAACTCTATCTTCCAGGAGTGGAGTCTGACGAGATATCAGCACAGGACTATGCTCGTTATCAGCGAGAATCTGCACAAGCCTGGTCGGCATTAGAGGCTGCCTTCCAGCACAAAAGGGATTTCAGACCAGAGCGTCTTCAAGATATGACTGAAGGAGCTCTAGAAAGGATTACCTCCCAGCTAGTTCAATGGTCGCAAGAAATCGAATGGCCTTCAGGCGGCGCTGACGGTATTTGGAAATCAACGGCCAACACAGCGGACGAGTGCTCCGAAAAAACAGAACTATTTATGGCGGATAGATATTGGCCATTCACCAAGATTATACGGTAGGATCTTTGCCATCCTGATCCATCCATAAGCTAATTCATGAACGAAACTCCTTAGAATCTATCTAAACGCTCAGGTTCTCAAAACAGGAGTCGTGCTCGCCGACTTACCAGGTAGATTCCTGTTGGATGCATTGCATGAGCTAAATGCGGCTAACTTTAGTCACAGGGCTTCAAGATACAAACTTGGCGAGGGTGCGAGCAACGCAGGACTATCTCATGAAATGCAACAACATTTTCATTGTGGCAAAAATCTCTCGCGCCATCACAGACCAGTCTTTGAAGACGTCGTTGTTTACGGTTCTATCCCGACATGTCCCTTTGGAGTGGGAGGAGTCAGCAGCTAAAAGCTTGAATGTCGCCGTCGTGTGCACGAAGTCAGAGGTAAATCGAACTCGAGTAATTAGTGACAAGTCTAAAGCTTATAGCATCATTTTAGGACATTGATATCGATACATCTAGACGCGAGTTCTGTGGAACCGGGAAAAGCATTTCGCCAATGACAGTCAAAGAGCTAGACAAGAAGATCGACGATGCGAAGATGGCAGGCGATTCACAGCTAAAGAAAAGACTGAAATTAAGGTATTTAGGCGGTCGTAGCTTTGTGGTGACACTGGGCTGACGCTGCGCTATTAGTCGAGAGCTAATGTTCATCAATGCTCGGAATGAACACGTCACGAAGGGGCTGCAGAACGCGTATGCATCTAAAGTTCCTGACAAGAAATTGGAAGTTTTCTGTGTATCCAACAAGATGTACGGGAAGTATACTCGCAAAGGGAACAGTGAGATAGTGAATTGCAGCGGGATCCCCTCGCTTCGCAAGTTCTGTCACAGCATCACGGCAGAAGCGCAGCTTAGAGAAGCTAAGCATTTTCTTCAGTCTTCACTGTTTAGCCTTCTGAACTCGCTCCACATCTGGGCCTGTAGCTCTGTGATGAATATCGAAGACGAGTCATTCGAGTCAAGAGAGGTCTATGCACAACTCGAAGATGTGGTAAGTAACTGCGTTTATTTCCAAAACCCATCTACTTTAATTGACCTACTCAAATCAGAAAACATTGTGGACTCAGTCGATTCGCGATCTCAGCAGCGAATTCAAGTCGTGTTTCGAAGAGCAAGTTCTCAAGATGCAAGGTACGACAACCAAAGGCGGCTAGCGAATCATGATTGACGCAGGAGAGCAGAGCACAGACATAGCGATTGGGAGAAAGCAGCAGCCTCGCAAGGACGGGAGTGGTTTGAAGTGAGTCATCCTAGCTGCAAAGGCTATACGGGTAGTTTTTATGAGTTGCTGAATAATTACTAGTGGCATTGGAGTTGGTCCTCCACGCATTGTAATAGAATCACGAATGCTGAACTAACCGAATCGTTTATAGGTCAGTATAACTCGTGGTGTCTTAACAATGGGAATCATGCGACTCCCAAGCGTGAGCATGTGGATTGGAATGCCAAGGTCATCTGGAAGATGCGGACAGAGCTCGAATTTCAATGGGACCTTGTTGAGGAAGAGATCTCGACTCTGTTTAGCAATCACTTCGACAAGATCAAGGGCCTATTAGAAAAGATGCAATTGGTAATAGAGGGTGAGCGCTCTGCTTTCAACTTCAGTTGGGCTTCCCATTTCATTGGGATATTTAAGCTTTGCTAACACCAAACTTAGAATTTGGCCCCGCCGAATTCGCCGCCTCGCTGATTGAAGGCATTGAGTCCCGCATCAAGCACTGCGAATACACAATCGGCTTATATGAACAGCGCTTCACTCGCGATTTCAAGTAATGCCAACCCCAGAAAACCGCAACCTTGTCACTTGTTACTTCACAGTCATCTTCAGATAATCAAATTGTGGTTGCTAACCAATAGTGTAGGTTAACGCGCCGATACGCGTCAGAATCGAATGACAATTCGTTCATTTTACAGCAAATGCTTCCCGCCTATCGGGAGGCGAGCAATCAGTTTGGTATGTTCCTCTTCAACGGTGACTCTTAACCTTCGCTCCAATGTGACTAATGAAGCCCCCGCATTTGGAACCTACAGGTGCTGGAAAAGCTGGCCGCCAGAGACGAATAGTGCAAGGGCGCATCACAGACGAATCCTTGTTTGCTAATATACACATAGCTATCTCAGAACGGATCAATAGCGCTATCAATAGCGTTAAGAAAGAGTTAAAGGAATTACAACGACAAACGCTAGAAGGGCTCGAGGAAGACATTGATAACGCAATTTCGTACGTTTCCGATGGGAGCATGGCTGCGGAAGACCAGAAAAAAGTTGAAGAACTCATCGAGGTAGTCAATGGTCTGAAAGATGAGGCAGAGGCCGTGGGGAGAATAGCAGCGCAGTGAGGTATCTGAAGCCTGCCATTAGTATGTTGAAATCAAAGAAGCTGACTTGCTCTTGTGGCCTCTATGCCGACCTCGGTCTTTCTGTTGATATAATAGTCTGCTAAATTGACTTGATTCGCGAATGTTTGTGCTACAATCTTAAGTCCGTGTCCCCATGATGACGATTTCTTCATTCTTAATGCACGTTTTAAGATTTAGATATAGTCTAATGGGCGTCTAGGGTTTTTTTCTTGATTTCGTCTAAAGAGAGGAATGTTGGGCATGGAAAGCATCTTTGAAAATCTAATTGTCTCGGTGCAGCGCCTAATGAGACATGCCTAAAGCCATCCCCTCAGCGACATATCGCCAATAGCGCTGCTTAGTATTCTCTCTGAATAGCTTTCCCCATTTAATCATGATCAAAAATACTGAGGATGTTGCCATTGCAATGAATCCAGCACTAATATAAGTGTTCTGCACACCGAGTTTGTAAATCCATGGAGTCGCTCTATGAAAACACGTTAGCGAGACGGTAAAATTAGCTGATTACAAATAACTTACGCATATCCTGTAATTGCCCAGCCCATAGTGTTTCTTATCACGATCACGGTAATCATTGCCTCACCACTCAGTTCTGGATATGTATCAATACAATAAGTGATACAGATAGTTATGGTTGCCGCACTGGCAGCCGCTTGCACAAATGCGCCAAACGCAAGTCCGAACCCTAAAATTGTATTAAAACAAGTCATGAGTTCAAAGAATCGATCGCTTCCTGATCAATTGCAGATTCGACCTACAGTGAATGTGATGCGCTGCGCCGACGCCCCATAATATGAAGCCGGAAGGGTACGCGATGACAGGGAACATGTAGAGCCACAGGCGGCTCTCAGTTTCAGAGATGCCACCATTTCGGCGAGCAAACCTTAGTGCAAGCCAGTCTCCAACGTACCCGCTAATCAGAGAACTGCGGTATGATGGTATGGTTAGCTGCTGTACTCATTGTAAATGAAGTCGGCCTTACCCGATGACACAGCCCATCAAGCTTGCCAAAGAGAATAATCCCACGATGGAGGACTTGAAGTAATAAGGAGCAGAAGATAGAACCAGAGATGCTGTGGCACTATTCAGAAGTGCCCATACAACTGTACATCCATACGCGAAACCCGAGTAGACGATCACAGGTAACGAGACAAATGTAAATGGCCTCCACATCAGTTTTAGCAGACTGATCGGCTGCGGCTTCCCGAAGAGACTCAGCTTTTCCCAGAGCGATTTCTTCTTATAAGCCACTCCAGTATCTGCATTAATTGTCGATGCCTGCGAAGGGCTCGCATTTGTTTCAGGATTGGTGGACTTTTCGATGTCGTTGGTGGAGTTACCAGCAGAGCCCGCCGATGATATAATCGACTCGACAACCCCGATTGTACCGCGGTTATAATTGGTTTCTTCCATCAAGAAAAACAATATGAGAAAGCCAAAGCCGCATCCAATCGCCGGCCAGTATAGAACCCACCTCCAACCCATACCGTCATAAATAAAACCGGAGAAAATCTATTGATATGAGTAAGTCAATATACAGCATAAAATCTGTAACATACTGGCGCTACGGTATTGCTGCCTAACAAAAAGAGGGAATATAATCCCATATATTTGCCTCGTTGATGCGTGAAGTACTGATCAAGGTGGCTGATTAGCTAGTCGACAGCAACGCGGAGGGCAACTAACCAGATCCGCCACCGAGATCTCACAGAGGGACTCAATTGGAGAGCCAAAGAACCCTTGAAGGATCTTATTCGCATACCATTCGCCGCTCGACTTGCAGTATGGGGACCACGTTTGAATTGCCTAAGCGCTCATCTTAGCCCATCTAAGATCTTTTGGCCTGGTAGATAAAACTGTGATGCCAGAAACGGAGTCTTACCAGAGTTGCGAGCATGGAGAACAAATACACTGGTCTTTTCCCATACTTTAGTGCCAAAGGCTGCCATATAACGCAACCCCAGCCAAAAAATAAGAACATGTACCCGGTACCTGAATGTAACGATGACATTAGAGTCTGTTTAATGATAAAGTATGCGTATACGTACCAGAGTTAAGATTACTATAACTAAGCCCTGTGTCCGCTGCCATGGGAACTAACACAGAATATAGGGCAGCCGATGCAATACCAACAAAGAGACAGTAACTACAAGTATGTGATCTTAGCTCGTGTTTGTGCGTTGGAGTCCACTCGTTGGAACGCACATGAAGATGCAGAACATGTGTAAAGTCTTCCGCCTATGCGACCAGTTCAACGGATCTTCTGGATCAGCAGATGGAGTCGGAATCAGCACAACATCTTTCAGGCGGGCATCGTGGTTTGTATGCACATTCCCATCAAGATCTACCAAGTGATTGGTACCCGGCACAGCTGATAAGTCGAGTTCTTGTCGAGTATGCGCCATTTCGACGAAGTTGCCACTGCGAAGCTATTAAGATACGTGATGGCAGTTTGAGACAGTAAAAAGGTTTCAAAATGAGGTCCGGACGGCAACTCTAGTACTCATATTATATGCTGGGAGATGCGAGTGTAGCTAGCATGCGCTTTTTAAGCCTTCGACTGACCAATCACGTATATTACCGCCTGTTGACAGGGAGTGCAACTACTCTGCGTGGTTCTTAAATTCATGAAATAGTCTTATCTGGAGGTGTTCTTATCTCAATCTGAAGAGACAAACGTCCAGCCGAAATGGACGCCACACACTAGGACTGATAAGACCTATTCTCGCGGCCTGGGAATAGACTGAAGCTTCCAAGTTTTGACTGATTAAGCGAATAATACCTTGTCTCTTGCGTTTTACAGAGGTTGAAATGTCCTCATTCATAACGCCGTCGTCTTATCAAGTGGATATATTTTGAAACCATGGTAGTGCTTAGCCCGATATAGTACTAGATCGGGCGGGTCAGAGGCCTCTTATCATCTCGTGCTCAGGCTAGACTTCCGGCGGAAATATGGTTGATTGGTCAACGATTTGTGGCTTTCAGAGAAAGCATTCGGATTCAAGCGTTGCGTTCGGAGCCTCATCAAAAGCGTTCAGCTCTGCTTCCTCAATCTCATGGCGTGAATTAATACAATAGAATTGATCGAAGCTGGCCATATATTCCTGTCTCAATCTCTAATGGTTCAAAGTTCGACACCAGCACAAAAAGCACAATAATCCGTGCATCACAGGAAATACCAATCACGTTCCACAAAGTGGTATTTATCACATCAAACAGAATAATGGGAAATATTGTTACGAGTCCGAAGGCTTGGGAAGCTGAGGCTGAGACTATTAGAAAGCTTCGTCAAGATTCTATCCAGAACCAATGGCTGCTTCCACAAGACAAAATCCCATCCCCGGATCAAGCTAATGTTCTGGACGTTCCCCGAGAAAGTGGACTACTTTCTATGATGGAATTGGAAATTACCGAGAGTGACGCCAGCAAGCTTGTACAGAAAATGGGTACAGGTGAATGGTCTGCCGAGGAAGTGACTATCGCATTCCTTAAACGAGCTACAATCGGGCACCAACTCGTAAGATCGAGACTTCTTAATAAATCGACAGCCTGTAGCTGACTTCTAATGAATTTAAACAGTTGAATAATGCGACGGAATTCATGGCTGAAGATGCCATTTCTCAGGCCAGAGAACTCGATGCTTACTTTGCAAAGCATAAAACGCTCCGAGGTCCGTTACATGGCGTCCCAATTTCGACAAAGGAGCATATCTGGCACAAGGGGCGGGTTGCATGTGGTGCCTATGTCGCACAAGCCAATAAAGTGGCAACCGAAGACTCGCATCTCGTGCGATTAGCGAAGCACGCGGGTGCGGTGTTTCATTTGCGTACAAATGAGCCGCTGACTCTAATGGTAAGCAAAAGAGCGACCCTTTCATCGCAGTTCGTCCATGGTCTTTGAGACTGACTACAGTATAGACAGGAGATTGCCATAATAATATCTGGGGTCGGACACTGAATGGGTATCATCGACAGCTCAGCTGCGGTGGCTCCTCAGGTGGTGAAGGTTCAACTGTTGGTTTCAGATCTTCGGCCATCGGACTAGGCACAGATATCGGAGGTTCTATCAGAATACCAGCCGCCTTCAATGGCGTATATGGATTCCGTCCGTCCGCTTCCAGGATGCCTTATGACGGTATTGAGCTCCCAGGAGCTGGCCAGGAATCTATCAAGTGTGTTATTGGACCGTTAGCTCACAGCATTGATGACATCAATCTTCTCATGAAGTCTATTATTGATCAAGACCCCTGGGATACTGAGGTTAGCCTGGTTCCATTATCCTGGAGAGCGATGTCATCCTCCACGAACATCACGGTCGGCATCATGTGGAGCGACGGGTAGAAATTTCTTGCATTGCCCTTCTATATGAACCCATACTTGGAGTATCGTATCTGATTTGTCTCGATAGTATTGT